AATGTTTGTTTGTGGTATTCACAGAACTCAAAAACCACTGGGGGAATTGAGACCAAATTTGGACACAATACACCTAACAACCCAATGTATGTCCTTCACTAAAAAAAATAATTTTGTCATTTGGGAGTTGTAGTTGCCGGAATTTATAGTTCACCTACAATCAAAGAGCATTCTGAACCCCACCAACGATGGAATTGAACCAAACTTGGGACACATTTCTCCCCTGACCAACAGAAAATACTGGAAAGGTTTGGTGGGCAGTGTCCTTTGGTTTTGGAGTTATAGTTCACCTCCATCCAGAGATCACTGTGGACTCAAACAATGATGGATCTGGACCAAACTCTACATGAATACTCAATATGCCCAAATGTGAACACTGGTGGAGTTTGGGGAAAATAGAATCTTGACGTTTTGGAGTTGTAGTTGCTGGGATTTATAGTTCTCCTACAATCACAGAGCATTCTGAACCCCAACAACAATAGAATTGGGCCAAACCTCCCACCCAGAACCCTCATGTGGGCCATAGCAACGCGTGGCAGGGGACGGCTAGTGCCTTTATAAAAACGAACACAAAGGGAAATGTGAGTTTTACAAATTCCATCCATTAGAGTTCTTCTCCTATAAGGTACAATCTCAACCATACCTGGTCTAACCAGATTGATACAAATCTAAGCAAATTTACCACCGCACTCTTCAAACATTTACATTGAATAGGTAGAATTCCAAGTATTTGCCCCTCCAGTGTCCTTTGGCTTAGATTTCCACCTTTAAAACAAACAGGAAAGACGGGATTCTCCGAGACAAGACCGAGGAACCTACTCTATGTTATCTTCTACCTAAATGTTCTTGGGGAAAAATCTTTTGACAACAGCACCCGGCGTAACAGGGCCTAAAAGAGGAACAGCAGCCACTAATCTATATAAATAAAAATGTAGTGTTAGTTCATGCTACCATCAGAACTCAAAAACCACCAGGGGAATTGACACCAAATTTGGACACAAGACACCTAACAGTCCAATTTATGTCCTCCACTAAAAAAAAAAAATGATTTTGTCATTTGGGAATTGTCGTTGCTGGGATTTATAGTTTACCTACAATCAAACAGCATTCTGAACTCTACTAATGATGGAATTGGGCCAAACTTAGCAGACAGGGCTCCCATGACCAACAGAAAAAACTGGAAGGGTTTGGTGGACATTGACCTTGAGTTTGGGAATTGTAGTTCACCCACACCCAAGAGCACTGTGGACTCAAACAATGATGGACCAAACTTGGTATGGATATTCCATATGGCCAAATATGAACACAGATGGAGTTTAAGGGAAATAGACATTGACATTTGGGAGTTGTAATTGCTGGGATTTATAGTTCACCTAAAACCAAAGAGCATTCTGAACTCCACCAATGATGGAATTGAACTAAACATGGCATACAGGACTTCCATGACCAACAGAACACACTGGAATGGTTTGGTGGGCATTGACCTTGAGTTTGGGAATTGTAGTTCACCCACATCCAGAGAGCACTGTGGACTCAAACAATGATGGATCTGGACCAAACTTGGCACGAATATTCTATATGCCCAAATATGAACACAGATGGAGTTTAAGGGAAATAGACATTGACATTTGGGAGTTGTAGTTGCTGGGATTTATACTTCACCTACAATCAAAGAGCATTCTGAACTCCACCAATGATGGAATTCAATCAAACATGGCATACAGGACTCCCATGACCAATGGAACACACTGGAATGGTTTGGTGGGCATTGACCTTGAGTTTGGGAGTTGTAGTTCACTTACATCCAGAGAGCACTGTGGACTTAAACAATGATGGATCTGGACCAAACTTGGCACGAATATTCCATATGTCTAATATGAATACAGATGGAGTTTGGGGAAAATATACCTTGACATTTTGTAGTTACTGGGATTTATAGTTCACCTACAATCAAAGAGCATTCTGAACCACACCAACAGGAGAATTGAGCCAAACTTCCCACAGAGAACTCCCATGACCAATGGAAATGCTGACTTAAGGCCATCCAGTCCGACTCCCTTCACCAGGGCAAGAAAACATAATCAAAGCCCTCCTGACAAAGAGCCATCCAGCCATAGATATAGATATATATTATTCACACACACACACACGGATGTAGTGACATAGATTTGAAAGGGACCCCTAAAGAAGGGCAATGATATGTTGCATGTTCCAGACTGGGCAAACCACATCAACAGAGACAAAGAAACAACAATACTGTTGTATTGTCGAAGGCTTTCATGGCCGGAATCACTGGGTTGTTGTAGGTTTTTCCGGGCTATATGGCCATGTTCTGGAGGCAATTTTTCTCCTGACGTTTCGCCTGCATCTATGGCAAGCATCCTCAGAGGTAGTGAGGTCTGTTGGAAATAGGAAAAATGGGTTTATATATCTGTGGAATGACCAGGGTGAGACAAAGGACTTTTGTCTGCTGGAGCTAGCTGTGAATGTTTCAGCTGATCACCTTGATTTGCATTCAATGGCTTCTAAGTGCCCGGGGGGAATCTTTGGGAACCAACCTGGATGCAGCATATTATTTGAGAACACAGAAGTGCTGGACCACTCTCACAACCATCATGTCAGACTACACAGTGAAGCCATTGAAATCCACAAGCATGTGGACAATTTCAACAGAAAGAAAGAAACCATGAAAATGAACAAAATCTGGCTACCAGTATTAAAAAACTCAAAAATTACAACAGCAAAACAACAGAGGGGAAACAAACAGGCACATAAAATCACTCTCAACAAAAGATTCCCCCCAGGCACTTCCAATCCATTGAATGCAAATCAAGGTGATCAGCTGAAACATTCACAGCTAGCCCCAGCAGACAAAAGTCCTTTGTCTCACCCTGGTCATTCCACAGATATATAAACCCATTTTTCCTACTTCCAACAGACCTCACTACCTCTGAGGATGCTTGCCATAGATGCAGGCGAAACGTCAGGAGAAAAATTGCCTCCAGAACATGGCCATATAGCCCGGAAAAACCTACAACAACCCAACAATACTGTTTACTCACAAGCATAAATAAATTACATATATTAGGAACCAATGCTTTCTCATTACTATATTTTCCAGATCACCAGATGGGACCACAGCAACGCATGGCAGGGGACAGCTACTAATAATAATATATTTAGACCCCACCACCATCTCACCAAGGGGACTCGGGGCGGCTTACATGAGGCCAAGCTCAGCAATACAGCAAAGTAAATATAAACATAAAAATACAACAATAAAATAAATGAAAGTAAAAATACAAAATACAAAAAATACAAAGAAAAAACGATACAAGTAGATATGCAGCGGTATAAAAACACAATGAATTAAATGACAACAGTTGAACACAATGGGCAGGGCCGGTTGCAAAGATATAAAAATTTAAAACACTGGGTGAGAAAGCAATGTAATGTATCTGGAAGGAGGGTCCGATGGGACGAAGAAACAATACGTTGCCTTCTGTTCTCGCCTATCGTCAGTATGTGAATCAATATAGAGGCCCATAATGTGTTACTATAAAATCCAAACCGGAAAATAACTGGAGCTGAGACAGGACAAGGTCTTGTAAGAAAAGATAGCTCGCCTTGATAAGTATTTGACAGTTGATGTTTGAAGCTCTGCAACCTAAGGTCTTAAATGCTGCAATTGCCTTCAGTTATAAATGGAAGTATTCGTCTAAATCAGTGAGATGTAATTTCTGTTAGCACAACTGTTCCTTTCACTGGTAAAGAGCTTGTATCGTAGCAGTCAAAGGCATAACTGTGTAGAATAGAAGCGTAACAGACATAGCTGTATTTTATGCTCCACACTGACCCCGTTCTTAATGAATAGGTATCTGTCAGAAGCTACTTTGCACTGAGGAGACTGATGGCATAGGTATTTGGCAAATATGTAAGAATGAAAAGGTGTTAAGCTGTTGGCACGTCTACTGGAAGAGCAGGGATGTAGGTCTCAAGAAAAAGTTTATCTTGTAGTTAAAGCGTCCAATGCATTTAAGCACAGACCTTGGGGTACCATGTATGCATAGACACTGGATGGTAAAATAATAATAAAAATAATAATCATCATCATCATCATCATCTTTATTTATACCCCACCACCATCTCCCCAAAGGGGACTCGGGGCAGCTTACATGAGGCCAAGCCCAAACAACTAATTACAACAAAGTAAGACTGAAAATGCAAACAATAAACAACATCATAATTACATAAAACATGTGAAAAGTTTCTTGCGGAGTCCCAAGGAATGTTGATATATTATAATATATCAACATTCCTTGGGACTCCACAAGAAACTTTTCCTTCAAAAAGGACTCCCGCACCTGAAACCATCTGAGGACATTTTTCTGGATCTCATCGTTCTACGTTTTTCTGGATCTCATAGCTTCCGTGTTATTGAGTAACCAAATCTGCCTCAAGTTTTAGTCTAATGTTTAAAATGTGCTGAAATTATTTTGGGATGGGACTCCATAACTTGGATAGCTTCTGAACTTTGCTATTGGTTGTTGGCTCTGATGTCCATTTTATATATTGCTTAATGTTGTGGTTTTTTTATCTTGTTTTATCTTGTTTTGTGTCATACTTTCTTGTTATGCATTTTAATGTGTTATGTTTTAACTGCATTGTTGGATTTGGCCCCATGTAAGCCATCCAAGTTCCTTCAGGGTTGGGGTATAAAAATAAACTTGTTGTTGCTGTTGTTGTTATAAAAATTTGGACTGAAACCAAATCGGATACATCATCCCACTGACATGGAATCTACCAGCATCTGAAAAAAGCTATGAAACAGCATGCGTTGCCATGTTGTAAATTCACACATGGCAGATTTAATAGCTTTTACAACTGCAACATTCACATATTGTAATTGCTCAGAATGCTCAGAAATGTGGTGTAATGGCTTCTTTTTTTAATAAATTTAGTCACACATGATATGAAAGTAATATTGTTTTGTTTTTCAGCATCTCATCACTGTCAGCTAACAAGACTGAAATGGGGTCAGTAGACATTATTTTGATAAAAACAGCCGTTCTTCTGCTTTTCTTTGGGTCCTTCCAAGTAGGCGTGTAATGCTGTCCCATTTCTGTTGACTACATGCACACTAGAAGGAAAAGCATTGGGAAGATCAGATGGGTAGTATATGAGACCTGTGGAGGAATGTGGGTGCTACCAACTGCTTAATAGACAATGGTTCGGCGAGGGCTGGTGGCATGGCTCCCTCGGATGGTGCTTTTGCTGGTGGTTCTCTGCTGCATGGTATCTGTACTGTATATGTTGGCCTGCACACCAAGAGGTGACAACCAGCAGCTCAGCTTCCCTAGAGTCAACAGCCCTACAGGCAAAGAGGAGTATCAAGCTATCCTACAAGAAAGGGAAGAGCATCACTGGGACTACATCAACAGTCTGAAGAGGCAAATTGCTGAATTGAAAGATGAGCTCCAACAGAGGAGCGAGCAGTTGAAGAACATGCAAGGGCACAATACCGACTCTCTGGGAGTGGTGGGAATAGACCAAGTGAATGCAGAGAAGCCCCAGAAAGCTCTCTTGCAGTTCTTGCATTCCCAAATGGACAAAGCGGAGATAGACACTGGTGTGAAGCTCCCAACTGAGTATGCCGCAGTACCCTTTGAAAGCTTCACCCTGCAGAAAGTGTACCAACTGGAGATGGGCCTTACACGTCACCCCGAGGAGAAGCCCGTGCGGAAAGACAAGCGGGATGAACTGACAGAAGCTATTGAACTAGGTCTGGAGACTTTAAACAGCCCAGCAAGTAGTAGCGACCCAAACCATCGGACATACACTTCCTCTGACTTCATAGAAGGTATGCATTTTTTGTACTCATTTTGGAATGAGTGAGATAAGTGTCCATTAGAATGCCTCATGTTTGGACCAATTGACTGAATTCTTTTTTCTCTCAGAACACTGATGCCGCGTACTAGACAGGCTCATCTTTGGCTCCTCCTTCTCTCTCTGGTATACTCCCTAGCAAAATATATATTCAAAATTATCAATTAATTACTGCGAGGAGGTGATCAGAGTGGAGAGAAAGCACACGTGCTGTCGTGCGACAGGAGGGGGAAATTATTATTTATTTCTCTGAATTCTGCCACCAACTGGTATAGTGGAGGCCAATTGTTATATGTAATCTATGGTAACTGCCACCAACGTGAGATATGAGGTATTACTGTGAGATATGGCAATACAGACGCAGAATGGATGGAGATGAAACTGTCTTCAACAAAAGCTAACTGGTTTATTGAGTACAAAGCGTGTGGTTGCAAGATTGTAACTTATTTTATAGAACTTTGAATAATACTTGGTTAGTTAAACATTTCACTCTTCCAGGTTACACAGTATCTTAATGAGGTGAAGCTCTTGTTACTAAACAATGTTTCAGTACAGGAATATCTTCCCTGTTTGATCTTTCCTTGATCAAATAAATTAACAAGCTTATCCTTTAGCCTTTCCCTTGACTAAAGAAAACTGGCTATGTTTCTCCTTTCAGCCTCCTTAGACTGAGAAACCTCTTGTAGCTATTCAGGCTTCCCCAAAGCCACAATTCTTTGCTTCACACTTCACTCTCCCACTCTACTCTTCATTTCCACTCTTTTACTCCTCTCAGACACAAAATCAACTCCTAACTGACTCTCAAACTGTCTGTTTTTTTCAAAACTCACTCCACTTGGCTCCTCCCACTTCTCCTTCTGCCAGCTTGCCTTGGTCTCCATGACAACGCTGACTGAGGATCTCTGAAATAGACTGCTCCAGTGTTACTGTAGCTAACCCAAACACATATATATACAGTTTAAAACATGCAAAGTATTAATAACTTCTGCACATTACTGAATGATAAATTGTAACCATAATATAGAACACTTCTTAAGCTGTGGGTACCAGTCCCAAATGAGGTCCCCTTAATTCAATGTTGGGGTTATGAAAGATTTTGATAAATTGAATTTTTAAGTACTGTTTTATTTATTTATTTATTTCACACACTTCTACCCCGCCCTTCTCAACCCCCGAGGGGGGACTTAGGGCGGCTTACAAAACGCACAATTCGATGCCGACACAACAATAAGATAAAAATAAATATATATAAACAGTAATGAAAAACAATTAAAACATTCACTTATATATATCATAATCAATAAAACCAAACTAGTGCTCAACGTTTGTCAGCTCAGAGTCCGTAAATTCATTCCACATTGTCAAATCCATCACTTCTAGTCGTTGCTTGTCCTTTGTCTATCTGCCAGATTACCCAAAAGCCTGGTCCCATATCCATGTTTTTAATTTCCTTCTAAAAGAGAGGAGAGATGTCGATGACCTAATTTCACCAGGGAGTGAATTCCACAGGTGAGGGGCCACCACCGAGAAGGCCCTGCTCCTCGTCCCCACCAACCTCACTTGTGATAGAGGTGGGGCCGAGAGCAGGGCCTCCCCAGAAGATCTTAAACTCCAAGGTGGGACGTAGCGGGAGATACGTTCGGACAGATACGCTGGGTCAGAACCGTATAGGGTTTTGTAGGTCAAAACCAGCACTTTGAATTGTGCCCGGAACTGGATCGGCAGCCAGTGGAGCTGACATAACAGAGGGGTGGTATGCTCCCTGTATGACGCTCCGGTGAGTAATCTGGCTGCCGCCCGCTGGACTAATTGAAGTTTCCGAACAGTCTTCAAAGGCAACCCCACGTAGAGTGCGTTGCAGTAATCTATTTGTGCAGTAATCTATACTGTTCATATTTAATTCTGTTTTAATGTTTGAATATTAGTATATTTTCAGTTGTATGCTAATGCTTTTATGTTAAACCGCTTTGAGTCTTCTTTGGGAGAGATAAAGTGGGGTATAAATAATAATAATAATAAATCTGTAGCAACAACGTGCAGTGTTTACAATGGACTCTACATCTGTACTTCATAAAAAGGGGAAATCAACCAGTTTAGCAAGTTTTGCGAATTCTGATTTATTATTATTATTATTATTATTAATAATAATAATAATAATAATAATAAATCTTTATTTCTGCTTTGGCGTCCATCTCTGCTGCCATTACTGCAACACAAGAAAGGAGAGAGAGGGATCAGCTCCATTAATTACTAGGAAAACCCAACTGGAAAGGCCAGGAAGGGAGGCAGAGGAGGAAAGGAGGGAGGACACCCTTTGGGGATGTCATGACGCCCACATTGGCAGTGAGTCAGTCAGACGGGCCAGGAAGGAAGGGAAGAGGGGAGAAGAGGGAGGACAAAGTGGAGTTTGGAAGGAGTCCCCCTTCCCTTTTAGAGTTGCATGCGTTTAATATCCCTCCGCATTATCCGACCATTTTGTTTATCCGACGTTCTACCAGCCCGTTTATGTCAGACTAGCCGTCCCCTGCCACCCGTTGCTGTGGCCCACATGGGGGTTCTGTGTGGGAGGTTTGGCCCAATTCTATCGTTGGTGGGGTTCAGAATGCTCTGTGATTGTAGGTGAACTATAAATCCCAGCAACTACTACTCTCAAATGTCAAGATTCTATTTTCCCCTAACTCCACCACTGTTCACATTTGGGCATATTGAGTATTCATGTAGGGTTTGGTCCAGATCCATCCTTGTTTGAGTCCACAGTGCTCTCTGAATGTAGGTGAACTACAACTCCAAAACCAAAGGACACTGCCCACCAAACCCTTCCAGTATTTTCTGTTGTCCATGGGAGAACTGTGTGCCAAGTTTGGCTCAATTCCATTGTTGGTGAGGTTGAGAATTCTGTTTGATTGTAGGTGAACTATAAATCCCAGCAAGTAGAACTCCCAAAGGACAAAATCAATTTTTTGAGTGAAGGACATACATTGGGTTGTTAGGTGTCTTGTGTCCAAATTTGGTGTCAATTCGTCCAGTGGTTTTTGAGTTCTGTGAATACCACAAACGAACATTACATTTTTTATTTATATAGATAAGCAAAACTCTACTGTAATAAAATTAAAGTCCTGTTTCCAAAATTAGAAAAATGAAATCAAGGAAATATAAATGCAATAAGTCCCCACCTTAACTGGGTTTCTTCCCCATGTAGCTAAACGTCAACTTATACCCTTTTTAGGAATGTCTTGCTAATGGTAGATTCCCCTCCATTTTCCTAACAGGCATTCATCGAACAGAAAGAGATAAAGGCACCTTGTATGAACTGACATTCAAAGGAGACAAAGGATATGAATTCAAGCGAATTGTTCTTTTCAGGCCGTTTGGCCCCATCATGAAAATTAAGAATGAAAACCTCAATATGGCCCACACCCTCATCAATGTCATAGTCCCACTGGCAAAAAGAGCAAGCAAGTTTCGGCAATTCATGGAAAATTTCAGGTTGGTACTGCTGTGCATGCCTCCTTCTCCCTAAGCAGATGCGGATAACTTGCAAGTCAGAAGTTCATCACAAGAGACAGCCGCTAACAAACCCAAACAGTTCTAAACAAAAGTTAGTTGCCAACTAAATGTTAAGGGAAATACATAGCATAGATTTTCTCCAAGAAAATACAGATCTGCAAGCTTCAGTAATCAGATATACAAATTAAGCCAGAGCAATTGCAAGAGACTAGTACTGGGAAAATTCACCTATGTTTGCAAATTATGGAGCTGCGTGAAAATATATACAACTAACCATCTCCTGCCACTTGTTGCCGTGGCCCAGTCTGTGGTTATGTGTTTTGTGTGTGTATATATATTTGTATATATATTTGTCTGCAAAGAACCGTCCGGCTGAACTGTTCCGAGTTGTCAGAGGCCTATTAAAACCCACCATTCAGGATGGGTGCCCTGATGACTCGGCAGCTCGCTGCGAAGCTTTTGCTCGGTTCTTCGCAGACAAAGTCGCTTTGATCCTCTCTGGACTGGATACCATATTAACGGCAGTATCTGAGGATGTAACACGAGCATCTGCTTGTCCGGTTTTGATGGATTCATTTCAATTGGTTCAATCCGAGGATGTGGACAAGGTGCTTGGAGGAATGAGAGCTACCACATGCATCCTAGACCCCTGCCCATCCTGGCTTCTAAAGGAGGCCAGAGGGGGATTGGCCGAGTGGGTAAAGGTGGTGGTTAATGCCTCCCTTCGGGAAGGCAAAATTCCAGCCAGCTTAAAACAAGCTGTTATAAAACCGCTGTTGAAAAAACCATCACTGGACCCCACTCAATTCGTCAACTATCGGCCTGTTTCCAATCTCCCCTTTTTGGGCAAAGTCATGGAACGTGTGGTGGCCTCACAACTCCAGGCATTCTTGGTAGACACGGATTATCTGGATCCGGCACAGTCTGGCTTTAGGCCGGGGCATGGTACCGAGACAGCCTTGGTCGCCTTAGTGGATGATCTGCGTCGGGAGCTCGACAGGGGGAGTGTGTCCCTGTTGGTGCTGCTCGACCTCTCAGCGGCCTTCGATACCGTCGACCATGGTATCCTTCTGGGACGCCTCGCGGGGATGGGTCTTGGAGGTACTGTTCTGCAGTGGCTCCGCTCATTCCTCGAGGGTCGGTCTCAGAAGGTGTTATTGGGAGACTCCTGTTCAACCCCACAACCTTTGTCTTGTGGGGTTCCTCAGGGTTCAATACTGTCTCCCATGTTGTTTAACATCTACATGAAGCCGCTGGGCGAGATCATCCGGAGTTTCGGAGTGCGATGTCATCTGTACGCAGATGATGTTCAACTCTGTCACTCCTTTCCACCTGCTACTAAGGAGGCTGTCGAGGTCCTGAACCGGTGCTTGGCCGCTGTGACGGTCTGGATGGGGGCGAACAAATTGAAATTGAATCCAGACAAGACAGAGGTACTCCTGGTTAGTCGCAAGGCCGAACAGGGTAGAGGGTTACAGCCTGTGTTAGACGGGGTCGCACTCCCCCTGAAGACGCAGGTTCGCAGTTTGGGTGTGATCCTGGACTCATCGCTGAGCCTGGAACCCCAGGTTTCGGCGGTGACCAGGGGAGCATTCGCACAGTTAAAACTTGTGCGCCAACTGCGACCGTACCTTGGGAAGTCTGACTTGGCCACGGTAGTCCACGCTCTGGTTACATCCCGCCTTGACTACTGCAACGCTCTCTACGTGGGGTTGCCTTTGAAGACAGCCCGGAAGCTCCAATTAGTCCAACGGGCGGCAGCCATGATACTAACAGGAGCGGGGCGCAGGGAGCACACAACTCTCTGCTGCACCAGCTCCACTGGCTGCCGATATGCTACCGGGCTCAATTCAAAGTGCTGGCGTTGGCCTTTAAAGCCCTAAACGGTTCTGGCCCAACTTATCTATCCGAACGTATCTCGGCCTATCAGCCCACCAGGACCCTAAGATCTTCTGGAGAGTCCCTGCTCTCTATCCCGCCAGCTTCACAAGTGCGGCTGGCGGGAACGAGAGACAGGGCCTTTTCTGTGGTGGCCCCTCGGCTTTGGAACACCCTCCCTATAGAGGTACGATCAGCCTCCTCGCTGATGGTGTTTCGGAAGAGATTGAAAACATGGTTGTTTAAACAAGCATTCGGTTAATCCGTTGCAATCGAATTGATGACTAAAGGACTGGTAATCATGGACGACGAATTTTGGATTGTGATTTTAGTTACGAGATGCATGGGATTATTATTGGTGGCCCAATAATTTGTATTGTATATGTGTTTTATGTTTTTAAATTGAATACTGTTTTTTAATTGTTGTAAACCGCAATGAGTCGCCGACTTAGGCTGAGATATTAGCGGTATACAAGCGTATAAATAAATAAATAAATAAATAAATAAATAAATACTAGGCAAGAAACACGTGGGGTTTTTTGGGCTATAGTGCCATGTTCTAGAGGCATTTCTCCTGACGTTTCGCCTGCATCTATGGCAAGCATCCTCAGAGGGAGCGCACTACCTCTGAGGATGCTTGCCATAGATGCAGGCGAGACGTCAGGAGAGAATGCCTCTAGAAAGATGGCCATATAGCCCGAAAAAACCTACAATAACCCATTGATTCCGGCCATGAAAGCCTTCGACAATACATATATATTTATTGTTTATTTATTATTTACAGCTTTTATATTCCGCCCTTCTCACCCCGCAAGGGACTCAGGGCGGATTACAGTGTACACATATATGGCAAACATTCAATGCCAATTTTTGACATACAAACATATACAGACATACACAGAGGCTATTTAACTTTTTCTGGCCGCCAGGGGAGCTGTTGCTTTCATCTTCCATCTGCGACGATGATGAAGCACTTCCGCATTCCCCGCATGCTTCCTCACTGGAGTGCTTTGCTGGAGTCTTCTTTATGGCCTCATAAATCAGTTTAGCCTCCCCACACTTTAAGGTGGTACCTAATTTTCCTACTTGACAGATGCAACTGTCTTTCGGGTTGCAAAGGTGGACAACAGGCTACACAATGGTTGGAAACCAACTCCAACCCGGGGTGGCTTTGAACTCATGACCTTTTGGTCTGAGTGATCTTAATGCAGTTGACACTCAGCCAGCTGCGCCACAATGTGTGTGTATATATATGCAGTTTTGTGCATGCGTTGTAATGTTGTTGGTTTTTTTTTTTGCTTTTTAAGTCTCTTCTGTTGTGTCTTTCAGTGTTTTAATGAGTGATGGTCACTCATTGGCCTGATAGGTGTATTGTGTCCAAATTTGGTGTCAATTCGTCCAGTGGTTTTTGAGTTATGTTAATCCCACAAATGAGCATCACATTTTTATTTATATAGACTAGTCGTCCCCTGCCACGCGTTGCTGTGGCCCAGTCTGGTGATCTGGAAAATAAAGTAATGTGAAAGTGTGGGTTTCTAATATATGTAATTTCTTGTTGTTTCTTTGTCAGTGTTGATGTCTAGATTGTCTGGTTTGCCTACTCTGGAATATGGAACATATAATTGTCCTTCTTTAGGGGTCCCTTTCAAATCTATGTTACTGTATCTGTGTGTGTGTGAATCATATATATCTATCTATATTTATGACTGGATAACTCTTTGCCAGGAGGGCTTTGATTACATTTTCTTGCCCTGGTGAAGAGAGTTGTACTGGATGGCCTTAAGTATTTTCTGTTGGTCAAGGGGGTTCTGTGTGGGAAATTTGCCCCAATTCTGTCGTTTGTGGGGTTCAGAATGCTCTTTAGGTGAACTATAAATCCTAGCAACTACAACTCTCAAATGTCAAGGTCTATTTCCCCCAAACTGCATATTTGGGCATATGGAATATGTGTGCCAAGTTTGGTCCAGATCCATCATTATTTGAGTCCACAGTGCTCTATGGATGTAGGTGAACTACAACACTCAAACTCAAGGTCAATGCCCACCAAACCCTTTTAGTGTTTTCTGTTGGTCATGGGAGACCTGTGTGCCATATTTTGTTCAATTCCATAATTGGTGGAGTTCAGGATGGTCTTTGATTGTAGGTGAACTATAAATCCCAGCAACTACAACTCCCAAATGACAAAATCAAAAAAAATTGAGTGAAGGACATACATTGGCCTGATAGATGTATTGTTTCCAAATTTGGTGTCAATTCGTCCAGTGGTTTTTGAGTTCTGTTAATCCCACAAACGAACATTACATTTTTATTTATATAGATTGCCCCTCTATATCCATGGATTCAACCACGGATTGATAATATCCCTCTCCAAAAAAAATCCAGAAGTAAACCTTGATTTTGTTGGAATTTTTTGGAAGGGATACTATGTTATCATACTACTGTATGTAATGGGAGCTGAGCACGCACAGATTTTGGTATCCAAAGAGGATCCTGGAACCAACCAACCCCCAGTGAATATCGAGGATCACTGTACTAGAACAAATAAAAGTTTAAATTGTAATAATAATCATCATCATCATCATCTTTATTTAATATCCCGCCACCATCTCCCCAATGGGGACTCGGGGCAGCTTACATGAGGCCAAGCCCAACAGCATATTACAATAAAGTAAAACCAAAACACAATAACAGCACAGTAAAATACATACAACATATGAATATGAAGACAATAAAGCAAAATCATACACAATAAAATAACATAACATAACATAACAATGAGTGGGCAGCATATGCAAGATAAAAACTGAGATACTAAGAATGCTAAATTGTACTTAAAGGAACAAGCTTTGAAAGTATAACATAAACCTTAAGGGGTATCAGCACCTAATATCAGTTAGATTGAATTAGATTCATGTCATTTTAATTGTCATAGCTCCATCATGAAGTTCCTTGTATTTGTGGTTAAAAGTGCCCAGGGAAACTGATGATTAATTCAATGTAAACAGACACTTTGGGGACACTTTAGGGGCCCTTCTATGCTTTCCTATATCCCAGGATCTGGTCCCAGATTATCTACTTATCCCAGATTATATGGTAGTGGAGACTCATATAATCCAGTTCAAAGTTGACAATCTGATATCAGATCCTGGGATATAGGGCAGTGTAGATCCAGCCTAAGAACCTTGGGAATTTTTTTTTTTGTCGTGTCAGGAGCGACCTAAAAAACTGCAAGTCGCTTCTGGTGTGAGAGAATTGGCTGTCTGCAAGGACGTTGCCCAGGGGATGCCCGGATGATTTGATGTTTTATCATCCTTGTGTGAGGCTTCTCTCATGTCCCCGCATGAGGAGCTGGAGCTGATAGAGGGAGCTCATCCGCCTCTCCCCGGATTCGAACCTGCGACCTATCGGTCTTCCGTCCTGCCAGCACAGGGGTTTAACCCACTGCACCACCGGGGGCTCCATACCTTGGGAATTGAAGTATCAGATCAATGGAAGTTCAAGAGAAAAGATTCTTGGTGAAAGTACATTGGAGTTACAATTAGGCAAAAGTATTAACCTGTGAAATTTTGTGAGAAGCAAGCTGATCTGTTCACTTCTCTTCTAGGGAAATGGGCATACAACAAGACAGAAGAATTCACCTCACCGTAGTTTATTTTGGGAAAGATCAAATGAGTGAAGTCAAAGGAATTCTGGAAAACACATCCAGGTAAGTATAACATATGTTTTTTTTATATCAATTGTATTGGAGAGATATACAATGTTAGCCTATTGTTAGCCTCTGCTGCGCCAGCTCCACTGGCTGCCAATTTGCTACCGGGCACAATTCAAAGTGCTGGCTTTAGCCTTTAAAGCCCTAAACGGTTCTGGCCCGACCTATCTGTCCGAACGCATCACCCCCTATGAACCAGTTAGGACATTAAGATCGTCCGGGGAGGCCCTGCTCTCGATCCCGCCAGCCTCACAAGCACGGCTGGCGGGGACGAGAGACAGGGCCTTCTCAGTGGTGGCCCCTCGGCTGTGGAACGCCCTTCCCGCAGACATTAGATCGGCCCCCTCCCTGCTGGCGTTCAGGAGAAGAGTGAAGACCTGGTTCTTTGAACAGGCGTTCAATTAAGCAGTGCAATCAATTGACTGAGTTTGGAACTGGAATAATGGACGAGGAGATCGGATTATGATTTTACTGATGAGACGTGATGGCTTAGTTATTTGGATATATTGATGTTATGTTGATTTACTGATGTATTGTTGTATTGTTGTAACTGCTTTAGTGACTGTTTAAATGTTAATGCTAATGCTATGCACTTTGTATATTGACCTGTTGTAAACCGCACTGAGTCGCCTACGGGTTGAGATAGTGCGGTATACAAATAAAGTAAATAAATAAATAATAAATATTGATAGCATGTAGAACTGGGTCTAATTAAAGAACTTATTTCTGTCCTTAATACAAACTTTTTGATAATGTCAGAGTGAGTTATAACATTAAGCTATTTTTTAAAAAATCAATCTAGAAACATCACTGATGAATACAAATCAGTTGCGTCCATTGTGGATACATCAACGTTACCTGTATTTTCATGAATAATACATCTAAACACCACACTGTCCCTCTATTTATATCATTATTGCTGTTGCTATATGTCTTCAAGTCATGTATGACTTATGGCAACCCTAAAGCAAACCTATCCAGCAGATTCTGGCCACTGTTTTCTCCGTCGAAGGCCAGAGCAACGACGGTTGATATTATGATTTCTAAAACTTTTGGAAGAAATCATGGCAATTGCAAAATAATGTTAAACTAGGTAAACTTTAGCTTGATGCAGAAAAGTCTGGCACTCTTGCCCAAAAGTGCAGGCTCAGGTCAATTGATATAGATTATTTGCATTTTAAGAAGCTCTGAATATAATTCTTGCTTTAGAAATTTACACCAGTATCCTGGACTACAGCCATTGAAGTACAGGACAAAAGGCAGCAGTCTATCTATTCCTATTTTAGAGCAATTAAAGTCCCTTCTAGACTGTCTGCTTATCCCAGATTATATGGCAATGGAGATTCATATAATCCAGTTCAAAGCAGGTAACCTGGGATCAGATCCTGAGATATAAGGACAGCGTAGAAGGGGCCCAAGACTGTGATCCAACATGTATTATTTGGGAACAACGATGAATGTACTCAGTGGTAATTACTTCTTTATGTCTTTAAGATGCCTTAAGACACAATGAACTCAATGGTAATTACTTCTTTACGTTTTTAAGATGCCCAGAAACAACGAATGCAGTGGTGATTACTTCTTTACATCTTTAAGATGCCCAAAGATCTTTGTTTAATTATAGAAAATTATTTTGATGCATATCTGGTTACTATTTGATGATGATGATGATGATGATGATAATAATAATAATAATAATAATAATAATAATAATAATAATAGAATCATAAAGTTGGAAGAGACCTCATGGGCCATCCAGTCCAACCCCCTGCCAAGAAGCAGGAATGTTGCATTCAAATCACCCCTGACAGATGGCCATCCAGCCTCTGTTTAAAAGCTTCCAAAGAAGGAGCCTCCACCACACTCCGGGGCAGAGAGTTCCACTGCTGAACAGCTCTCACAGTCAGGAAGTTTTTCCTCATGTTCAGATGGAATCTCCTTTCTTGTAGTTTGAAGCCAATAATAATAATAATAATAATAATAATAATAATAATAATAATAATAATAATAATAATCCGTCAGGGCAGATTCCAACAAAAAGGCAAACATTCGATGCCTGAAACAACAATAAATACAAATACAGTAATAAACCTACCAGAACCCCAAATAAGCCAACATATACCACAATAAACACACATATATCAAAATAAACCCACATATAACACCACATTATAACATACAACCTTGAATTAAATTAAATTTAACTTAAATTATATCAACATACAAACATGAACCTCGATTCACAGGCTGAAAACAAACAAAAAAACAAAGGAGCTGAACAAAATCAAACACATTCTTCCTTGCAGATCAGCCAACTTCAAGAATTATACTTTCATCCAGCTGAATGAAGAATTCTCAAGGGGCAAAGGCCTCGATGTGGGGGCTCGGTTTTGGAAAGGAAGCAACGTTGTTCTCTTTTTCTGTGATGTCGATATATACTTCACAGCAGAATTCCTCAACACATGCAGGCTGAACACACAACCAGGTATGGCTGCCCTTGGGTTTAGAACTTATTTTTTTCTAAAGACACATGAGAAAAAACATTTGCATCATCCAACTGTACAAGTGACCACTAATATCTGAGCAGTGCCAGTGTAGTACAGTTGTGCTGGCATGGCTGTGCCAGGAGATTTGATTCTTTTTCTTGCCTAATCTCACCAGGTAGTGAATTCCAAAGACAGGGAGCTCCCTCGTTCCCGCAAGTCTTGCCTTGATAAAGGGAAAGGCGAAAGGAGAGCTTCCCCGGAGGACCGAAGAGATAGTGTAGGTTGGTGGTAGGAGATGCGGTCACCAAGGTAGGCAGATCCCAAACAGTTCAGGGCTTTATAGGTAAGGACCTGTACCTTGAATTGGGACCGGAAGATGAATGGCAGCCAGTGGAGCTCCTTAAACAGGAGGGTTGCAGATGCATCACCAAACTATAAATCCCAGGATTGCATAGCATTGAGCTATGGAAATTAAATTAGGGATGATGTCCCTCAAATAGTAGCTATAGGTGCTCCTGAAGTATCTTTCTGTTTTGCTTTGGTTCAACACTAAGATTACCGTATGATACAAATCGAATTTTGGCGAGGTAATTTAACCAAAGAAGGTGAGCATTAGACTCAAGTGAATAGGGTCCCTAAGTCCTCCAGGATGATTTCATGATAACATCCAACAGAAATTATTTATTTCAATTCTTTCTTGTTTCCTTGATAAGTACAGGAATACATCCCCCACGGATATGTGAGATTTGCACAGTACTGAAAGCTAAGTTCAAAACATTGCATAGCAGAACACTTGTCTGCAAAGTAAATAACCAAGTTTGTTCAATTCTTCTCACCCTTCCCATAGGAAAGAAAGTGTTTTATCCAGTTCTTTTCAGTCAGTATAACCCAGGTCTAATTTATGGACATCACAATTCCATCCCACCTATAGAACAACAACTGGTAAGTACTGTAAATGTTTTGAAACGGAATACAAAAAGACATCTTATATAGAGCAGTGTTTCTCAACCTGGGGGTCGAGACCCCTGAGGGGGTCACGAAGGGGTGTCAGAGGGGTCACCAAAGAACATCAGAAAACACAGTATTTTCTAATGGTCATGGGGATTCCATGTGGGAAGTTTGAGCGGATTTTATCGTTGGTGGAGTTCAGAATGTTCTTTGATTGCAATGAACTAGAAATCCCAGCAACTACAACTCCCAAAAGTCAAGGTCTATTTTCCCCAGGCTCCACCAGTGTCCACATTTGCGCATATTGAGTATTTGTGCCAAGTTTGGTCCAGATCCACCATTGCGTGAGTCCACAGTGCTCTCTGGATATAGGTGAACTACAACTCCCAAACTCAAGGTCAATACCCACCAAACCCTTCCAGTGTTTTTTGTTGGTCATGGGAGTTCTGTGTGGCAAATTAGGTTCAAATCCATTGCTGGTGCAGTTCAGAATGCTCTTTGATTATAGGTGAACTATAAATCCCAGCAACTACAACTCCCAAATTACAAAATCAATCCTCCCCCAACCCCACTAGCATTTACATGTGGTTGCATTGGGTATTTGTGCCCAGTTTGGTCCAGTGAATGAAAATACATCTTGCATATCTGATATTTATATTATGATTTATAACAGTAGTAAAATGACTGTTATGAAGTAGCAACAAAAATAATGTGATGGTTGGGGGTCACCACAACATGAGGGACTGTATTAAGGGGTCACGGCATTAGGAAGGTTGAGAACCACTGATATAGAGTCAGGTCCACAAGTGCCCTTCCAGACTTGGCATTATCCACGCAACCACAGGTGGCAACAGTGGTTGGGAAGGATTGTCCTACTAACAAATTCATTTCAAGCTACTTGTTTTGGTCTTTAAAGCCATACATTGAGTTGCTCGTTCAGGATTATCCCAAATCCTAGGTTTTGTTGCAGAATATTTTTGAATTTTTTAAAAGAAAACCTTCCAAATATAGGAAAGTACGAGGGGTATTTTTTAAGTAAGGTCCGTTTGAACATAAGTACACAACGAAAGTTTATTTCAAAAAAGTAAATTTATTTTCAGAAAGTACATACTTCACTCTGTTTTTCAACATAGTTGCCAAGTTTGTTCAAACACTTACCATACCTCTGAACCAATTTTAAAATACCCTATTCATAAAAACTTGCTGCCTGCTCCGATAACCAAGAGTTCACTGTAATCAAAGAAGGGCGACCAGAGCGGTCCTCATCATGGACGTTGTCATGGCCATCTTTGAATTGTCGTACCCACTTACGCACTTTGCTTTCACTCATAAAAGTATCACCGTACACTTCACAAATCTGTTGATGAATTTCTGCAGCAGGCAGGTTCCTTGCTGACAAAAACCGTATCACTGAGTGAACCTCACATGCGGAGGGTGAGTTGATAGTCTTAAACATTTTAAAAGCACAGAACAGAACTGTACAGGTTAGCTACAGAGCGGAAACTGAGCACAGTTGTTCCTGAGGCATGCCGGTACATGATGCACGCGCTCGTTGCGGTATGCGTGTGAACTACTAGTGTCTACAACAAAACGGACCTTACTTTAAAAATGCCCCTCGTAATTCTGGCATTCTGCAGAATAGAGGGGAAAAGGGGGGGGGGGGGAATCTAAGGTGCAGGTTTTTTAAAAAAATTAAACTGACACAAACAGGAATTTATAACCTTGTGTATTTACATAAAAGCAAAACAATTGACATAAAATCAGGTGTGAATACTTTTTTGTAATGACAACCTTTTTGAGTGATGTTATGTATCAAATTTACTAACTTGGTCTCAAAAGGAGAGGTAGTTAGCACTTAAATGGTTAAATGTATGTATTTTATTTCTGAACTATAAACAAAAATCCAGGATTTTACATGTTACCGGAGCAAACTCTATATTCATAAATAAATACACTTTTGTTCCTTGCAGGTTATAAGAAAGGAGACTGGATTTTGGAGGGATTTTGGTTTTGGAATGACTTGCCAATACCGCTCGGATTATATCAACATTGGTAAGAATTCTGCTTGCATTAAATTTTCAAAGATGGAATCAGACAGTCTTGGCTTTCTTGATATACTTGAGCCTTCTCTCTGGACCTTCTAATACTGTACTTCCAAAATACAATTAATACTGGAATTATATTCAGAGCAATGATCTGGTGTCATTCAGAGCAATGATCTGGTGAGGAAGCCACAGGGAGGAGGGAGCAAGCTTGTTTTCTGCTTCCCTGGAGACTAGGACGCGGAACAATGGCTTCAAACTACAAGAAAGGAGATTCCACCTGAACATTAGGAAAAACTTCCTGACTGTGAGAGCCGTTCAGCAGTGGAACTCTCTGCCCCGGAGTGTGGTGGAGGCTCCTTCTTTGGAAGCTTTTAAACAGAGGCTGGATGGCCATCTGTCAGGGGTGATTTGAATGCAATATTCCTGCTTCTTGGCAGGGGGTTGGACTGGATGGCCCATGAGGTCTCTTCCAACTCTTTGATTCTATGATTCTATGATTATCGTATTGTTTTGCTTTGTTCTGAGTTATTTATTGTTGTATTATTGTTGTTATGTTTTATGATGTATTTGGGCTCGGTCTCTTGTAAGCCGCACCGAGTCCTGCGGGAGATGGTAGCGGGGTATAAATAAAGGATTATTATTATTATTACTATTATTATTGACATTTCCAATATGTATCATAATTGCCTGGCTACATATGACTCATTATTTTAAATTTCAGATTGACCATGTAAATATGGGTTTATTAAACAATCTTCTTAGCACATCATGTTAGGTTTTGCAAGAGACATTCTCACAGATCTATTTCCAAGACTCAGATTTTTCTCATCCAAATCTCTTACTTATTTATTGGTTGATTTATTTATTTATTGAAAACATTTATAATTCCGCCCTTCTCACCCCGAAGGGGATTCAGGGCGGAGCACAGCATATACGTGGCAGACATTCAATGCCAGGACACAGATTCACATACAATACATAAACATTAAAAAAATTATCAAATTATTAAAATACACCATTTAAAACCGTCCTAGTCATCTGCGTCAAGTCTAATTGGCCTGGTCATCTTTCCTATTACCGCTTTATTGCCCTGTCCCAAAAGCTTGGTCCCACAGCCAAGTTTTTACCATCCTTCTATAGGCCAGGAGGGAGGGGGCCGACCTGATCTCGCCAGGAAGGGAGTTCCATAGCGGGGGAGCAATCACCAAGAAGGCCCTGTCTCTCGTCTCCACCAATCGTGCCTGTGACACTTTGCTGTGACACTTTGGTGTCATTCTATTAATAACACAGTCCAAGCAACAACAACAAAAAATCTTGGTGTCTTGGCTTCTAGGCCTGTTCCTGGGGGTTTTGGCGGGTGATTTAGAAAATTGTGTTGGATAGACCACATCAACTCTAGTTTCTTAGATATGGTCATCATGATTTTCTATGGATGAGCAGATGATGACTGGTAAATGGCATGTATTCTGTATCACAAAAAATTACAGCTGATAAGGGAAAACTGGTGCCATTTCTGGAATCAGCAGGTCAAATATACCAAGCTCTCATCCTCTTCCTCCTTTCAGCTCCAAATTACTTAAATAGGACATAGGCTAAATAAAGTCATTATTCAATCCAGTCTTTGTGTCTGTTGGTTTTATTCTATGACTGGCCATCAACTGACTGTCTTATAATTTCTAAATTTTGCTGATGCTTACATCTTCCCATATTCTGTGTATTATAAATAATACTGGTATCTATATATATAAAAATGCTCTGTGCATAATGAGTACCTTAAAAACTAAAGAACCAATGAATGAAATCACACCAAATCTGGCAACAAAACGTCTCACAACACAAGGAGTGACCATCACTCAAAAAAATTATGATTTTGTCATTTGGAAGTTGTAGTTGCTGGGATTTATAGTTCACCTATAATCAGAGAGTATTCTGAACTCTACCAATGATGGAATGAACCAAACTTGACACACAGGACACCAGGACTTTCCTGACCAACAGAAAACATTAGAAGGGTTTGGTGGGCATTGACCTTGAGTTTGCGAGTTGTAGTTCACCTACATCTAGAGAGCACTGTGGACTCAAACAATGATGGATCTCGACCAAGCTTGGCACGAATACTCAATATGCCCAAATGTGAACACAGATGGAGTTTGGGGTAAAAAGACATTGACATTTGGGAGTTTTAGTTACTAGGATGTATAGTTCACCTACAATCAAAGTGCATTCCGAACCCCATCAACGATGCAATTGGGCCAAACATCCCACACAGAACCCCCATGAAGAAGAGAAAATTCTGTGTTTTCTGGTGGTCTTTGGTGACCCTTCTGACACCACCCTGGTGACTCCCTCCCCCAGGGTCTTGACTTCCCTGGTTGAGAAATGTTGCCTGAAGGTCATCCAGTCCAACTCCCTTCACCAGGGCAAGAAAACGTAACGAAAGCCCTCCTGACAAAGGGACATCCAGCCATTCACACACACACACACACACAGAGAGAGAGAGAGATAGTATTATAGATTTGAAAGGGACCCCTAAAGAAGGACAATGATATGTTGCATGTTCCAGAGTAGGCAAACTAGACACTCTCCTATCAACACTGACAAAGATACAGCAAGAAATATTGTTTCCCCACAAGCAGAAAGACATTACATATATTAAAAACCAACACTTTCTCATTTATTTTTTGCTGTTTCTTTATCAGTGTTGATGTGTCTGGTTTGCCCACCCTGGAATATGAAACATATCATTGTCCTTCTTTAAGGGTCCCTTTCAAATCTATGATACTATATCTCTCTGTGTGTGAATCATATCTATCTATCTATCTATCTATCTATCTATCTATCTATCTATCTATCTATCTATCTATCTATCTATCCTAGCTATCTATATCGATGGCTGGATGGCTCTTTGTCAGGAGGACTTTATTTATTTATTTACTTTATTTATATACTGCTTTTCTCAGCCCTCAGGCGACTCAAAGCGGTGAACAACATCAATACAAAACATCATGAGACAAGTATAGGGCAATTAAAAACAATTGTAACATAAATCATTAAACATCAGTATAACAATCATTAGCGCCTCAATAGTAAAATCAGAATCCAGTCTCATCATTATTCCATATTTCTATGTTTAATTACACTGTTTGATCAAATGCTTGTTCAAACAGCCAGGTCTTCACTTTCCTCCGGAACGCCAGCAGGGAGGGGGCTGATCTGATATCGGCAGGCAGGGCATTCCACAGCCAAGGGGCCACCACTGAGAAGGCCCTGTCTCTTGTCCCCGCCAAGCGCGCCTGTGATGCAGGCAGGACAGAGAGCAGGGCCTCCCCAGATGATCTTAGTGCCCTAGTCAGTTCATAGGAGGAGATGCGTTCGGAGAGGTAAGTAGGGCCAGAATCGTTTAGGGCTTTATAGGCTAACGCCAGCACTTTGAATTGTGCCCGATAGCAAACTGGCAGCCAGTGGAGCTGGCGCAACAGAGGAGTAGTATGCTCCCTGAGTGCCACTCCTGTTAGCAACCTGGCTGCCGAGCGCTGGACCATTTGAAGCTTCCGAGCAGTCTTCAAAGGCAACCTCACGTAGAGAGCGTTGCAGTAGTCAATACGTCCAACACAGGCTGTAACCCTATGCCCTGTTCGGCCTTTGATTACACTTTCTTGTCCTGATGAAGGGAGTTGGATTGGATAACCTTAAGTATTTTCTGTTGGTCAGGGGTGTTCTGTGTGGGAAGTTTGCCCCAATTCTGTCGTTCGTGGGGTTCAGAATGCTCTTTGATTGTATGTGATCTGTGAATCCCAGTGACTACAACTCCCAAATGTCAAGGTCTATTTTCCCCAAACTCCATCTGTGTTCATATTTGGGCGTACTGAGTGCTTGTGCCAAGTTTGGTCCAGATCCATCATTGTTTGAGTCCACAGTACTCTCTGGATGTAGGTGAACTACAACTCCAAAACTCAAGGTCAGTGCCCACCAAACCATTCCAGTATTTTCTGTTGGCCATGGGAGAACTGTGTGCCAAGTTTGGTTCAATTCCATCGTTGATGGAGTTCAGAATGCTCTTTGATTGTAGGTGAACTATAAATCCCAGCAACTACAACTCCCAAAACAAAATCACTCCTAGTGTTGTGAGACGTTTTGTTGCCAAATTTGGTGTGATTTTGTTCGTTGGTTCTTTTGTTTTGACATTATGCACAGAGCATTTATAGATAGATAGATAGATAGATAGATAGATAGATAGATAGATAGATAGATAGATAGATATAGATATATAGATATATAGATCACATTTGTTAATATATTATGTGAATAGACAGACACTAAAGGGAAATATCCAGATTGTCATTTAAGGCATCATATTCTTTTTCTTCTTTTTAGGAGGATTTGATCTTGACATAAAGGGCTGGGGAGGAGAGGACGTGCATCTGTATCGCAAATACCTCCACAGCAACCTCATTGTGATCAGGACTCCTGTTCGTGGACTTTTCCATCTCTGGCATGAAAAGCATTGCTTAGATGAGCTGACCCCTGAGCAATACAAGATGTGCATTCAATCCAAAGCCATGAATGAAGCTTCCCATGGCCAACTAGGGATGCTGGTCTTCAGGCGGGAGATTGAGGCTCATCGGCGCAAACAGAAAGCAAGCAACAAAAAGACTTGAAGCCAAATGGTGTTAATTCCGAATTGAAAAAAGAGAACCTCAAAGCCAGACTTAGAACATTCTGAATCTTTTTGTTGATTGCATTGTTCCATCTTGATACCATCTTAGCCCATTATCTGGCTTTCTTTCAACCACAGCATCAGCCTAGAAGATATCTTTTTGTTTTTGCCAATTTTTGGTTTTGGAAATACACACAAAATAGTTTTTCAGCATGGAATGACATATTACAGTATTATATAAAATCTTAGGAGCCCCCGGTGGCGCAGTGGGTTAAAGCACTGAGCTGCTGAGCTTGTTGACTGAAAGGTCACAGGTTCGATTCCGGGGAGAAGCGTGAGCTTCCGCTGTCAGCCCTAGCTTCTGCCAACCTAGCAGTTCGAAAACATGCAAATGTGAGTAGATCAATAGGTACCGCTCCGGCGGGAAGGTAACAGCGCTCCATGTAGTCATGCCGGCCACATGACCTTGGAGGTGTCTACGGACAACTCTGGCTCTTCAGCTTAGAAATGGAGATGAGCACCACACCCCAGAGTCAGACATGACTGGACTTAATGTCAGGGGACTACCTTTACCTTTACCTTATAAAGTCTTACATTTTATGAGGTGGATATCCAACTACTCATAATCATTGAAAGGTCTTTGTATAATATTTCCGTGAAGGTGTTCATGGCAACCCTGATTCAGCCGAGGCCTAAAATCTGTTTCTAGGTTGCAAACACTCAGTAATGGCTTAAATGAGCATAATAATATGTCAGATCCAAATCAAGTACAATTTTTTTTCTTGCACATTGCTTGATAATGGATTTCTCTTCTCAATCGAACTATTTAGGATAACTGGGACATCTTTTGAAGATGCTGAAATTTTATCTTCTGTAATTATGGTATTGATGATTCCTGGTGAAATTTCAGACTTTCTTATTCTATCCAAATCACAATGCAAGAGACAATCGGAGTTCATTACATGCAGTAGAATTTCAGGAAGAAAAAAAACATGCTAGCTAACCAAAAAGTCCATATTGTCTGAATGTTTGTGAGTTAAGTAAAGACAATGTGTTTGCTTATTCTTGGATGCTCTGACATTTGTTTGTTGTTTAACTTCAAGAATGCACTTTTGGTTTTATGTTCCTTTGTACCCCATTTAATTGTAAGGACTTGCTGAGAAATAGCCCAGTATACTTACTTATTTACTTAATTACTTACTTAGGCGATCCCTTGTTGGCTGAGTAGGATAGTCTTACAGCAGGGGTCCTCAAACTAAGGCCTGAGGGCCGGATACGGCCCTCCAAGGTCATTTACCCGGCCCTCGCTCAGGGTCAATCTAAGTCTGAAGCGACTTGAAAGCACAACAACAACAACAACAACAACAATCCTATCTCATCAGCCAAAAGCAGACCCACACTTCCCATTGAAATACTAATAAGTTTATATTTGTTAAAATTGTTCTTCATTTTAATTATTGTATTGTTTTTAAGTGTTTTTTGCACTACAAATAAGATATGTGCAGTGTGCATAGGAATTAATTCATATTTTTTTTCAAATTATAATCCGGCCCTCCAACAGTTTGAGGGACTGTGACTTGGCCCTCTGTTTAAAAAGTCTGAGGACCCCTGTCTTACAGGATCAGTATTCTGGTGGGTCCGTAGGTGACTGTGGAGCCCTATTCTTGATCTGCATCTTCTCCTGCAGTGAGGGCATTGGTTTCCAAGTGGAAGGCGGTCCTTGTTGGGGTTGGCTTGATGCGCCTTTCTCTTGGCACGTTTCTCTCTTTCACCCTCCATTCGTGCCCCTTCAAATTCTGCAGCACTGCTGGTCACAGCTGACCTCCAGCTGGAGCGCTCAAGGGCCAGGGCTTCCCACTTCTCAGTGTCTATGCCAGAGTTTTTAAGGTTGGCTTTGAGCCCATCTTTAAATCTCTTTTCCTGTCCTCCAACATTCTGCTTTCTGTTCTTGAGTTCGGAGTAGAACAACTGCTTTGGGAGACGGTGGTCGGGCATCCGGACAATGTGGCAGCCTGGAGTTGTTGGCGGAGGACCATCGCTTCAAAGCTGGTGGTCTTTGCTCCTTCCAGCACGCTGATGTTTGTCCGCTTGTCTTCCCAAGAGATTTGCAGGATTTTCCGGAGGCAACGCTGATGGAATCGTTCCAGAAGTTGCATGTGACATCTGTAGACAGTCCATGTTTTGCAGGCATATAGCAGAGTTGGGAGGACAATTATTTCAATTACTAGCAGATAAATGCTATACCAGTTCACTTGCTAATCAAGATGAAAACTATTTGCCAAATTTTTTACTAAGTAATACTGGGCTTGGGAGGAGCCCAGTATAACTTAATAACAAATTTGGCAAATAGCATTTATCTGCCAGTAATTGAAATATTCTGCATATATTTAAAGAAAAATGGAATGAACAGAAATTGAATATTCTGCAAAAAACATGTGGGCCAAATGTAGCCCTCACTAGGCTTTGGTAACTCTAAGCCTAAGACTCAGTCAGAAAGATTACATGCAGTGCTACAGAAGAGTAGCCATCAGAACCCGCAATTTCCTCCTCCAACTGTTTTATCTCTATGCATTTTTTCCTCTATACCAGAGTTACCAAACTAACCAGTGACAAAATAGGGAACTACCAATCAATCCAGCTGGAACACTGGAAGTGCTGGTTTCAATGGGAAATGTGGCCTGGGGAGGTTGTTGGACTCAAGGAAAGCAATTTTAAAGGTCATTGTACCATTATTCAATAGGCATGTGCAATCCATGGTTCTAAAGTACTTACAAAACTAAAGTTCTGGTGGTGAAAACTAGGAGGCGCTGGTGCTTTGCTTCTACAGTGTGGCTAAAGTTCTGGTGGTCAAAATTTGAGAACTCTAACAAAATTTTCAAAATTTCATTATAAATGGCAGTTACTAATTGGTTCTGTCATAAAAATCATCAATAATGAAATAATAATGAAATTTTGAAAGTTTTGTTAGAATTCTGAAATTTTCACCACCAGAACTTTAGCGACACTGTAGAAGCAAAGCACCAGTGCCCCCTAGTTTTCACCACCAGAGTTTTAGTTCTGTAAGAGCTTTACAAACATTTAGAGACATGGATTGCACATGCCTATTATTCAAAGAAGTGGGAATTTTGGGCTCCAGGTTAGGTTGAAATCTAGGAAGAAAATGTAGGAGATTGTGGCGCAGCTGGCTGAGTGTCAGCTGCATTACGATCACTCTGACCAAAAGGTCATGAGTTCGAAGCCAGCCCGGGTTGGAGTGGGTTTCCAACCAATTGTGTAGCCTGTTGTCGACCTTTGCAACCCGAAAGACAGTTGCATCTGTCAAGTAGGAAAATAAGGTACCACCTTAAAGTGTGGGGAGGCTAAATTAACTGATTTATGAGGCCATAAAGAAGACTCCAGCAAAGCATTCCAGCGGGGAAGCATGCGGGAATGCGGAAGTGCTTCATCAGCATCGCAGATGGACGATGAAAGCGACAGCTCCCCTGGCGGCCAGAAAAAGTTAAATAGCCTCTGTGTATGTCTGTATATGTTTGTATGTCAAAAATTGGCATTGAATGTTTGCCATATATGTGTACACTGTAATCCGCCCTGAGTCCCCTGCGGGGTGAGAAGGGCAGAATATAAAAGCTGTAAATAAATAAATAAATAAATAAATAGGAGGAAAAGTTTGAAGAGAGAGGAGAAGGCAAGAGGGAGAGGGAGGTGAAAAGCACACAGCCCTTCAGTATCTCCGCATAGGCTCAGTGGAGCATATTTTGAGAACCACTAGGCTAGACAATGCTACTGTGGATTGAGAAATGGTTAACCGCTGAACCTAAGGTAAACTTACCAGTAGTTTCTCTTCATCCTGGAAAAAAAGCAACTAATGGAGTGCCACAGGATTCTGTCCTCGGCCCAGTGCTTTTCAACATCTTTATCAATGTTTTGAATGATGGAATAGAGGGCATGTCAAATTGGAAGATGACATCATAGATCTAGATCTAGGGAAGTAATGCTACCTCTCTATTCTGCTCTGGTTAGACCACACCTGGAATATTGTATCCAATTCTGGGCACCACAATTCAAGAGAGATATTGACAAGCTGGAATGTGTCCAGAGGAGGGCGACTAAAATGATCAAGGGTCTGGAGAACAAGCCCTATGAGGAGTGGCTTAAGGACTGGGCATGTTTAGCCTGAAGAGAAGGCTGAGAGGAGATATGATAGCCATGTATAAATATGTGAGAGGAAGCCACAGGGAGGAGGGAGCAAGCTTGTTTTCTGCTTCCTTGGAGACTAGGATGCGGAAAATGGCTTCAAACTACAAGAGAGGAGATTCCATCTGAACATGAGGAAGAACTTCCTGACTGTGAGAGCCGTTCAGCAGTGGAACTCTCTGCCCCGGAGTGTGGTGGAGGCTCCTTCTTTGGAAGCTTTTAAACAGAGGCTGGATGGCCATCTGTCAGGGGTGATTTGAATGCAATTTTTCTGCTTCTTGGCAGGGGGTTGGACTGGATGGCCCATGAGGTCTCTTCCAATTCTTTGATTCTATGATTCTATGATTCTATTATCAAATTGGGACAGATAGCTAAAACTAACAAAATTAATTTCAATAGGAAGAAATGCACAGATCTAAGAGAGGGGTGACACCTGGCTAGAAAACAGTTGCAATGGTTTAAATAAAAATTTGCAATCAGTTAAATAAAAATAAAGATTAATATATATTTTTCTGATACATACTGATTTACATACAAGTAAATAATACTCTTAATTAAAAAAAAACAAAAGTCATTGTGGGATACTTGGGTACCAGCCTGTGCAAAACTGAAGGCAAATGATCTCTGACAATATTACGGCTGCTGTGTCTTTATTTTGGCAAACTGGTGCTTTCTTTCCTCTTGATCCTTACATTAAAGAGCTAAAACATAACTGTAATGGGGTTCAGGCAATGGTTTTGTTCTATGTTCTTATCCACAGCATTGGATCCCAAGCATACAGCATATCCTCCCATTGTTTTCCAGATATAAATTGCAAACTCCTTTTATATATCACTACTAGCCGTCCCCTGCCACGAGTTGCTGTGGCCCAGTCTGATGATCTGGAAAACAAAGTAATGAGAAAGTTTTGGTTTCTAATCTATGTAATGTCTTTATGCTTGTGGGTAAACAGTATTTCTTGCTGTTTCTTGGTCAGTGTTGATGTGGAGCTTGTCTGGTTTGCCTACTCTGGAACATGCAACATATAATTGTCCTTCTTTAGGGGTACCTTTCAAATCTATGATACTATATCTGTGTATGTGTGTGTGAATTGTATCTATCTATCTATATCTATGGCTGGATGGTTCTTTGTCAGGAAGGCTTTGATTTTCTTGCCCTGGTGAAGGGTGTTGGACTGAATGGCCTTAAGTATTTTCTGTTGGTCATGGGAGTTCTGTGTGGGAAGTTTGGCCCAATTCCATTGGTGGTGGGGTTAAGAATGCTCTTTGATTGTAGGTGAACTATAAATCCCAGTAACTACAACTCTCAAATGTCAAGGTCTATTTCCCCCAAACTCCATTTGTGTTCATATTTGGGCATATGGAATATTTCTGCCAAGTCTGGTCCAGATCCATCATTGTTTGAGTCCAAAGTGCTCTCTGGATATAGGTGAACTACAACTCCCAAACTCAAGGTCAATGCCCACCAAACCCTTTTAGTGTTTTCTGTTGGTCATGGGAGTTCTGTGTGCCACATTTGGTTCAATTCTATCATTGGTGGAGTTCAGAATTGCTCTTTGATTGTAGGTGTACTATAAATCCCAGCAACTACAACTCCCAAATGACACAATCAATTTTTTGAATGATAGTCACTCATTGGGTTGTTAGGCATATTCTGTCCAAATTTGGTGTCAATTTATCCAGTGGTTTTTGAGTTATGTTAATCTAACAAACGAACATTACATTTTTATTTATATAGATACAGCAGTTTCCAAACTTCGATCCTCTAAGTTGTTGGTCTTTAGTTCCCAGAGCCTCCAGCCAGTCTGCCCATTCAGGAATCCCAGGAGCTAAAGTCCAAATCATTCTGGAGGACCAAAGTTTGGGAACCACTGGTATAACACATCTGGAAAAAGCCAAGGTGGAGAAGACTGCTTTCCCAGGAAATGTGAATTGTACTTTGGACATTTTTCACACTGCTTCATTTAGCAGTATACATAAGAGCAGGAATAATCATAAGCAAAGACATTGATGGAAAGCTTGATACTGCCAGTGTTGTTCACAGTGGCTTTATTCTTTTCCTGTTTTCTTCAACATTTGGTTCCTGTTCCTTCACGTCTTGATGCTGCTTCTAGATCCACAACTGTTAACAGCAATTGCACTTTCCTTCTTTAACACACGGACATTTTAAAGTTCACAATTAAACTGTAGCAACTGAAGGGTTTTGGCAGTAGTTGGCACCTGTCCATTCAAGAAAAGTCTGTCCTCATGGTCTCATTCAAAAAGATCAAGGTAATCCGGCTCCAAGCCTCGCTGGCCGCAGGGATAACGCAGAAGTTCCTTCCCCAAAGACGTGATAGGTTCATCCTAAGAAAAAGCAAGTCATTGCAGGTAAGAATTCATTTGTGCTCCAGAGAACTAGCATTCACTCATCAGTTGGTTTTCTACATATGACTAATTTATTTAATTGTAGCTAAAAACTTTCTACCAAAAAAATTAAAGCATGTAATGTATCTAAGCATCTAAAAGTTCATGGAAGTACAGTACAGATTGAGGGAACGACACCCTTCAAAGGACATTGCCCACCAAACCTTTCCAATATTTTCTGTTGGTCATGGGAGAACTGTGTGCCAAGTTTGGTTCAATTCTATCGTTGGTGGGGTTCAGAATGCTCTTTGATTGTAGGTGAACTATAAATCCCAGCAACTACAACTCCCAAATGAGAAAATCTTTTTTTTTTTTTGAGTGAAGGACATACATTGGGTTGTTAGGTGTATCGTCTCCAAATTTGGTGTCAATTCCCCCAGTGGTTTTTGAGTTCTGTTAATCCCACAAACGAACATTACATTTTTATTTATATAGATTATCATAGTATAAGAATCAAACAACAGGGCCCACCTTGTGGTAGTCAACCAGGTCGGCCAACGTTGAATGCTGTAGCTGATCCACACCCAGGAAACTATAAGAGTCCCCAGAAGCATCGATCAGGAAGTGTTTGCAACCTTCTTCTGACAAATACGAAAGAACATAACCTTTGATCTTTTCACTGACCCGGATCAGGAAACTCCCAGGTGTCAAACCATTTAGCAGTTCTTCTGCTTTTTTGATGGTTAAAATACCTGTTCCGAAAACAAAAACAAGAGCAACGTACTTGGATGTGAAACCCTTCACATAGATTTCTATCTTTCCAAGAATCTGGAAGGACACCTTAGGATGTTTGCAATCCCTGTCACTCACTTTCCCACCCAACAACACATGACATAAATGCCTAAAACAGTTTTTTAAAAAAACTGTTTTTAAAGGCTCCACTAAAACACTATTAGGCAAAATAGTCTTGTGAAACATAACATCTACCTCCAATTTGGTGTTTCCGCATGGGATGGACTATTATCCCCTAACAAATTTGTGAACATCCTGCGGCTCCTCCATGATGACATAATGGCAACAGTCTTGGACAGCAATGGCTCCCAAAGTGACCCATTTAAGGTGGAATCTGGTGTCAAACAGGGATGTGTTATCGCCCCAACTTTATTTTCCATCTTCATTGCTATGATACTTCATCTTGTTGACTGGAAGCTTCCCACCGGAGTGGAAATCGTCTATGGCAAGCTATTTAACCTCAGCAGACTGAAAGCCAAAACCAAGGTTACAACAACATCTGTTATAGAGCTCCAGTATGCTGATGACAACATTGTCTGTGCGCATTCAGAAGAAGATCTACAAGCCACTCTAAACAGCTTCCCAGAAGCATATGAGAAGCTCGGCCTGTCATTGAACATTGAGAAAACCAAAGTGCTCTTCCAGCAGTCACCAGCCAATCCCTCTCCAATGCCAGAGATACAGCTTAATGATGTAACATTAGAAAATGTTGACCATATCCGCTACCTCAGCAACCACTTCACCACAAAAGACAACACTGACACTGAAATACAACACCACCTGAGCTCTGAAAGTGCAGCATTTCTCCAAATGAAGCAGAGAGTGTCTGAGGACCGGGACATCCGTAGGGATACCAAGGTGCTTGTATATAAAGCTATTGTCCTCCCAACCCTGCTATACGCCTGCGAAATGTGGACTGTCTACAGATGTCACATGCAACTCCTAGAACAATTCCATCAGCGCTGCCTCCGGAAAATCCTGCAAATCTCTTGGGTAGACAAGTGGACAAATATCAGCGTGCTGGAAGAAGCAAAGACCACCAGCATGGAAGCGATGGTCCTCCGCCATCAGCTCTGCTGGACCAGCCACGTTGTCCGGATGCCCAACCACCATCTCCCAAAGCGGTTGCTCTACTCTGAACTCAAGAATGGTAAGCGGAATGTTGGTGGGCAGGAAAAGAGATTTAAAGATGGGCTCAAAGCTAACCTTAAAAACTCTGGCATATATACTAAGAACTGGAGGTCAGCTGTGACCAGCAGTGCTGTAGAATTTAAAGAGGCACAAATGGAGGGCAAAAGAGAGAAACGTGCCAAGAGGAAGGCCCGTGTTATTTCTCCATCAGTATTACATTTCCACAACCATAGAATCAAAGATTTGGAAGATACCTCATGGGCCATCCAGTCCAACCCCCTGCCAAGAAGCAGGAAAATTGCATTCAAAGCACCCCTGACAGATGGCCATCCAGCCTCTGTTTAAAAGCTTCCAAAGAAGGAGCCTCCTCCACACTCTGAGGCAGAGAGTTCCACTGCTGAACAGCTCTCAGAGTCAGGAAGTTCTTCCTAATGTTCAGATGGAATCTCCTTTCTTGTAGTGTTTTGATCAATTTACACTAATTTTTTCAGACAGAATCAGTCATAGATGTTTTAATAGTCTTCAAGACGGATGTAGTCCTGAATAGACAGCTAAAGCTTGGGTCCCTGGTTATTGGAGAGAGCTTGGAATATCTCTCCTAAATATAAGTGTGCAGAAGTCATTGATACTATGTATATGTTTAACTGTTAGAGTATATGTTTGTGTTGGTAACAGTAGCTAAGACTAGAGTTATCTGGTTTGAACCAACAGGGAGCGTTGCCAAGGAAACCAGGCAGGCTAGCTCAGAGAGTGAGAAGTGGGCGGAGCTAAGGAGGAGAAGTTATGTGCGTCTTTGGAAAAGAGGCAGCTGGAGTCTGAGTGAGAGTAAGAGAGAGTGGAGAGGCTTGGAAAAGCCTGGGAGAGAGGTGTGAAAAGCTGGAGGTTTTTCAGTCTAGGAGGGTTGAAGGGAGAAACCTGACCAGTTTCTTTAGTTAAAGTAGACTATAGGCCTGGGCAATTTAGTTCGTTATTTCGTTATTTTGTTATTAATTCGTTATTTTTGCATTTTTGAAGCAATATCAAAACACATTTTCAAACCCGGAAGGGTTTAAAAATATCGAACCGGCAGCCCCCATAAATTTAACGAGCTTCCGCTCGTTTCGTTAATGGGATGGAGGCTGCTGGAGTGCTGGTGCCATTCCCCTCTTTCTCGGCCTGGGCTGCTCTCCCCGCCCTCTTTCCCCTCTCCCCGTTTTCCAACACTCCTCCTCCTCCACATGCGGCTGCATAGTGAGTGAAGTACTGTATTATAATAGCGCTGCATCAGGGGCGGCTGAAGCAACTTACGTGCCAAATCCCTGGCTGTGGGCTGCTTGCCTTGCTTGCTCGCTTCTCCAAGCGGGCGAAAGGAGAGGGAGAGAGAAAAACAGTGTGCTGCTGCCTGTCTCTTTAAGGAAGGAGCACATGGAGCCCTCGGCTGCCGGTTTGGCGGAGGGAGGGAGGCAGGCGCGCGCTTGGTTGCTCTTCAAGCGCGCGCCTGCCTCCCTCCCTCCGCCAAACCGGCAGCCGAGGGCTCCATGTGCTCCTTCCTTAAAGAGACAGGCAGCAGCACACTGTTTTTCTCTCTCCCTCTCCTTTTGCCCGCTTGGAGAAGCGAGCAAGCAAGGCAAGCAGCCCACAGCCAGGGATTTGGCACGTAAGTTGCTTCAGCCGCCCCTGATGCAGCGCTATTATACAGTACTTCACTCACTATGCAGCCGCATGTGGAGGAGGATTCAGGAGCATTCTCTCCTGACGTTTCTCTCATATCTTATAGCAGGCATCCTCAGAGGTTTGTTGGAAACTAGGCAAGTAGGGTTTATATCCCTGTGAAATAACGTCCAGGGTGGGAGAAAGAACCCTTGTCTGTTGGAGGCAATTGTGAATGCTGCCATTGGCCACCTTGATTAGCATTGAATGGCCTCGCAGCTTCAAAGCCTGGCTGTAGAAGGTCCAGGGTGGGAGAAAGAACTCTTGTCTGTTGGAGGCAAGTGTGAATATTGCCATTGGACAGCTTGATTGGGATTAAATGGCCTTGTAGCTTCAAAGTCTGGCTCCTTCCTGCTCAGGGGAATCCTTTGTTGGGAGGTGTTAGCTGGGTCTGACTCAAACCCGCTATGTCTGTATAGTAGGCCTGTGCGGTTTCGTTTTCCATTTTAAAATATTTTTTAATATTATTTTTTAATATTATTTTTTAATATTATTTTTTAATATTATTTTTTAATATTATTCTTAAAAAATAAAAAAAATATTCTAAAAATTCGTTAATATTTACAAAATTTTGTAAATACCAAAACTTTTTTTGGGAAAGTTTTGTAATTATTTTAAATAACGAAACAAAAAAACACCCCAATTACAAAACGATTACAAAACCAAATTTTTGCGTTGTTACCCAGGCCTAGTAGACTAAAGGAAGCTTGTTAAGATCCCTAGTCGAGGAAGGACTAGAGATCAGATATTTGATCAAGGAAAGATCAAATTGGAAGGCTATTCATATTAGGAAACATTGTTCACCAAAGTGCTTCACCTCAGTAAAAGTTAGCCACGAGCTGTGTCATCAGGGAAGAGGACTGTATTACAAACCAAGTTATATTCAAAGTTCTATAAGTCATTTAACAGCCTGCAACCATACGCTTTGTACACAATAAATTTGTTAACTTTTGTTGAAGACCGTCTCATCTCCATTAATCTGTGTCTGTAGAGCCAGATCTCATCGGCGATACCTCACGTTGGTGGCAGTTACCTTAATTTACAAACAATATTTGGCCTCCTCTATAACAAATTCTTATACACTATTGAGGCCTGAGATTAATTCCCTCCATAATCATCCACACCTGTACAACTTGGTGCATGCGTCCTGTACAATTGGTGACAGCGGGTGGGATCTTTAAAGTTAAAATCCCTATACCCTGTCTATTGTTGGGTTTGCACCTGTACAATTGGTGGCGGCCCTGTACAATTGGCTCGAGACCTGTACAATAAGTTATTTCATTATTGGTTACAGGTGCCCGTAGATGATAGTTACCATTGATTGCTCCATCCATGTGCCATATTATGTTACACATTAATGCTACATGTTAATGTTTCTTTTTTATTTAAAAGTTTTGAAAGGTTGCCCTATCACCTTCCAACCCAACCGGGGGCTGTTTACTCACCATGGAACCAGGGTGCTATGTAATCCATTGATTTCTCAAAACCAGCTTGGAGGGGGAGCTGCTCTTCTTTGAACCACCGAATAATACCTTCCTCAGTAGAACTGGAGACTGTTCGCTGTATTCCCCGTCTTCTGTCAAAGCAAACAAATTGGTGGTTTGCCATTTTTACAATTAGCTCTGGGATTATGTTCTATGCTAATGCAATTTAACACATAGAATACATTACTTTTTCAGCATAAAGTCTTTCAATTCATTGTAGTGCAGGCTCTTGGTTTGGCAGGCGTCACGGGCAAAATCGATCATCCTACTGTAGCAGTCAATGCTCTTTTACTTGCCCTCTTCTTTTGGACTCAATCAAGTGTGTGAGGCGCATGAACACCTATAAGCCTTCACTACTTGTTTGCTCATTCGGAAAAAAGCCTACTTAACAGCAAGGGACTACACGCAGTGTTTCTCAACCTGGGGGTCGGGACCCATGGAGGGATCACGAGGGGGTGCCAGAGGGGTCGCCAAAGACCATCAGAAAACACAGCATTTTCTCTTGGTCATAGGGTTTTCTCTGTGGGAAATTTGGCCCAATTCTGTCATTGCTGGGGTTCAGAATACTCTTTGATTGTAGGTGAACTATAAATCCCAGCAACTACAACTCCCAAATGTCAAGTCTATTTTCCTCAAACTCCACCAGTGTTCACATTTGGGCATATTGAGTATTTGTGCCAAGTTTGGTCCAGATCCATCATTGTTTGAGTCCACAGTGCTCTCTGGATGTAGGTGAACTACAACTCCAAAATTCAAGGTCAATGCTCACCAAACCCTTCCAGTATTTTCTGTTGGTCATGGGAGTTGTGTGCCAAGTTTGGTTCAATTCCATCTTTGGTGGAGTTCAGAATGCTCTTTGATTGTAGGTGAACTATAAATCCCAGAAACTACAACTCCCAAATGGCAAAAGTCTATTTCCACCAGTGTTCACATTTGGGCATATTGAGTATTTGTGCCAAGTTTGGTCCAGAGCCATCATTGTTTTGAGTCCACAGTGCTCTTTGAATGTAGGGGAACTACAACTCCAAAACTCAAGGTCAATGCCCACCAAATCCTTCTAGTATTTTCCATTGGTCATATGAGTTCTGTGTGCCAAGTTTGGTTCAATTCCATCGTTGGTGGAGTTCAGAATGCTCTTTGATTGTAGGTGAACTATACATCTCAGCAACGACAACTCCCAAATATCAAGGTCTATTTTCCCCAAACTCCACCAGTGTTCACATTTGGGCATATTGAGTATTTGTGCCAAGTTTGGTCCAGATCCATCATTGTTTGAGTCCACAGTGCTCTCTGGATGTAGGAACTACAACTCCAAACTCAAGGTCAATGCTCACCAAACCCTTCTAGTATTTTCCGTTGGTCATATGAGTTCTGTGTGCCAAGTTTGGTTCAATTCCATCATTGGTGGAGTTCAGAATGCTCTTTGATTGTAGGTGAACTATAAATCCCAGCAACTCCCAAATGACAAAATCAACCCCCCCCCCAACCCCACCAGTATTCAATCTTGGGTGTATTGGGTATTTGTGCCAAATTTAGTCCAGTGAATGAAAATATATTCTGCATATCAGATATTTACATTGCAATTCATAACAGTAGCAAAATTACAGTTACAAAGTAGCAACGAAAATGATTTTTTGGTTTGGGGTCAGGTCAACGCAACATGAGAAACCGTATGAAGGGGTTGAGGCATTAGGAAGTTTGAGAAACACTGGACTACAGGGATTAACAGACAACCCCTCTCCCCAAAGCATGTGTCAAACCATATCAATCAATGATGGATCGATAAGAAGTTCATTCTTGGACCTACATATTCCCTAATACTCAGGGCTGTAGCCAGAAAAAAATTTCGGGAGGGATTGAAATTTTCAGGGAGGGGGGGTTGAAACCTGCCTCCTAGCTCACGCTGAAGCAAAGAGCACATCTGCAGGGGGCAGAGCAGCCTTCAATAGCCTGCAGCTCCGCCCTTGTCAACCATCTCCACCAAGTCTGGCCTCCTTAATGAGAGCATTCAACGTCCCCCCCCCCCCCCCCAACTTGGTTGCTTCACTACTGTTCTGTTGCACGCTGGGCCTGTAAATAATTGTCTTTAGAACAGGATGTGCAACCTTTGCCCAGCAGAAAGCCAGGGGGCCTAAAGAGAAGTTCTCAGAGGTTTCCACCACAAACAGTCTTTAGAAGGCTTGAGAAGTACAACAAAGTCTTTTATTAAAGAACAATCAAACAGAAACTTCTCTTGTCTTCAGTAAAGTTAAGCAAATGATTCCAAGCTTTTAGGCAACTGGTGAATTCCTAATCTTGCCCACGAAGGACAGGCAACTGTCTTCAATAACTTCTTCTTTAAAGGAAAATCCCCTTTTTAACTTCTCCCAGGCTGACTGTAATCTAACCCTTACTGATGTGGGCTCCGCTACCGGGTCGAACTGCGTCTCGAACGCCAAGTGGACCTACCAGCAAGGCAGTAGATGTTCTCCAGCTGGAGTTCTTTGGTCTTTAGGGCTGTTTTCCTGGAAATTCTTTGGAGACTCTTAAGACCTTTCTCCCCCGGAAGGTCTTAAGGGTTGAAGCTTTTTGTACAGGGGAAGCTTGCACACATCCTATACATAAGCTTACCTTGCTGAGACTAACTAAAAATGGCTCCCTTCCCTTCCCAATTGCCCTGAGCAAGGGGCGGGACCAAAACTTAACAATGATGGACAGGTGACTTGCCCTATGACTGCAACCAAAGAAGCCACCTATCTGCAGAGTCCCTGAAACCTAGGACTGCAAGCAAACATTTAATACAAAGCAAATAACAGTGTGAATAAATTGCTAATATTTGCTTGAGATAGTGTTTTCAGTTCTGGAGGGACTCTTGATTTTTTTGCATCTCATAGACTTAGCATGGGGATTTGGTTAACCAGTTAAAATTCATGAGTAAACGAGGTTTTTTTAAAAAAATCTTAAACATTTCAGGGGGGGTTGAACCCCTAAACCCCCTCCCTCGCTACGGGCCTGCTAATACTGCCTTGTACTGTCAGCCTTTCACATTCACTGGCATTAGGGGTGCAGGATTTACACAGGAGAAAATCCGCAAATAAAAAATTCTATTTTTTTGAACTTGAGAGAACACCTCTTTAGGAATCTGTAGGTCCTCCAACATAATTGCATGGTAAACCTTTGCCATAACTGGGTCGGAGGTTTAGCACAGCTGGTAAATCATCGGCAGCTATAAAATCTATCAACCAAAAGGTTGCAAGTTCAAACCCCCGGGTCAGCGTGAGCAGCCGACCATCAGCCCTGCTCACTGTTTACCTAAGCAGATCGAAAACAGCTTTAGCTGGAATTAAGAGAAAATAGGTACCACTAAAGTGGGGGAGGTGTTTTACAACACCATAATGAAAAAGAAGATCAGAAAATGCTGGAATGAGGAAGTCCCTACAGCTCTTCATCATAGAGGATGGAGCGACAGCGCCCCCTGTGGACTCGAGCCCAACCGTCCATGGCATCGAAATACCTCCTTCTGTTCTGTCTGTGTACTGGCTATACAAACAGCATTGAATGCTTGCTGTGTACAGGGGCGGCTCAACCATTACACAAAGTAAGCATTTGCGGTATAGTTGATTTTGCCCAGGGGCGCTCTTGAGGCACTCTTGGGGGAAAATAGACCTTGACATATGCGAGTTGTAGTTACTGGGATGTATAGTTCACCTACAATCAAAGAGCATTCTGAACTCCACCAATGATGGAATTGAACTAAATATGGCACACAGAACTCCCATGAGTCCCCCCTTGGGGGTTGAGAAGGGCGGGGTAGAAATGTGCGAAATAAATAATAAATAAATAAATTTCTCAGCAATTCAAGGCAGTTCACAGTCGGCAGCGATTTGATGCCATAACAAATATCAAAATACAGTTAAAACAATTATAAAAACAATTCAACATTTAAAATGTAAAATAAAAAGCAAATATATCTGTAAAAACAAGATCCTCGGCGTCTCCTTACTAAAATCGTTGTCCAGTTGCATCATCAGTCATTCCATATATTCGTTTACATCTAATTATGCTCCAGTATTAAAAACTTGCTCGAAGAGCCAGGTCTTAACCATTTTGTAGAATGTTAGAAAGGAGGGAGCCGATCTTATATGCCTGGGGAGGGCGTTCCATAGCTGAGGGGCTACCACTGAGAAGGCCCTGTCTCTCGTCCCCGCCAAATGCATCTGCGAGGAAGACGGGATCGAGAGCAGGGGCTCCACAGATGATCTTAAAGTCCTAGATGGTTCATAAGAAGATATACGTTCCGATAGGTAAGCTGGATCTATATAAGGTGCTCAATCTAGTCAGTGGGTTTAGGATGGGGCATCTTAGATAGCTCCTTTGAAGTCTGGACTAAACCCTGGATTGTATTCACTACCCCACTGACATGGAAATCACTGATTCCTGATGAAATGAATCAAGAGCCATTTCCTCTTGAGCCTCAGTGATACAACTCTGCCTGCCATGGGGTTCATAGTCTTGGTTCCAACCTTGAAGTCCCATCACAAAAAAGGGGAGTACAAACAGATACAGCCAGCAGAGACATTGCAATGTCTTTTCTTGACTACATCTCTTTTTCCTCAGCTAAAGCTTTGAGAGACTCACCTTTCTGGTCTTCCATTGGTTACTACAGGAGCAGGTAGATTCTTCGGCTTAGGTGGCAAAGGAGGGGGAACCAACTGTTTTTGCTCTGCTGCTTTAAGGATCTTTGAAACTTCGGCTGCTTTTCCTTTGTGGATCCCTTGCAATGACAGCCTTTTGTAGTCATCTCGGGCATGTTTGGCAAGGGAGCTTCGCCTCTCATCAGCTGCTTTTGACCGTTGTACTACAGCAGTTAAAAAAAAATGTTAATCCTTCTTTCAAGACTGAGGAATCTGTGTTAATACTGCAGAAACTAGCACAAAGAAATGAGATGTAACAATGCTTTGCAATATATATTATACATTTACCTTCCACATTCCCTGGGGTTAGGGGCACAAGACCATTGAGAAAGTGAAAAAACACACATTTTAAAAACTCGAGATAACACTTCTCCAGGGATCTCTGAGTCCGGAGAAGGTTGACCTACGAATGCCTAAAGACTTTTTGTCTATGTGGATTTCTCCAGTGCAACTCTATGTTGGGACTCAGCCTATGTGTGAACCTGAGCCTGAATCTCTGATTGTATTGCCTAATGCTGATGCCAATGTTGATGCTAATTGTGCTGGTATAGCACAATTAGCTTTATTTGCTTTGTATTAAATGTTTGCTTGCAATCCTAGGCTTGGGATTCTGCAGCAGGGTGGCTTCCTGTTAAAGTTTGCAGTCATAGGGCAGACCACCTGTTCATCATCATTAGGTTCTCTAGTCCCGCCCCCCTTTTGGGTTTAGAGAAGGGAAGGGAGCCATTTTTAGTTAGTCTCTGCAAGAATAGTTAATGTACAGGATGTGTACAGACATTCTCCTGTACAAAGGCTTCAACCCTTAAGACTTCCTGGGGGAGAACAGTCTTAAGAGTATCTAAAGATTCCCAAAGGTTCCAGGGAAACAGCCTTACAGCCCTGAGGAATTTTGGAGGGAATAACAGCTTTAAACATCAAGAACTCCAGCTAAGTGACTACAGGCCTACAGGTAGGTCCACTTGGTTTTGAGACACAGTTCAACCCGGTAGTGGATCCACATCAGTTAGGTTTAGGTTCACAGTTAGCCTGGGAGGAGCTAGAAAGGGATTTTCCTTTAAAGTAAAGTAAAGAAACAGTTAGAAGTCACCAGTTGCTCGAAGCCTGGAAGTATTTGTTTAACCTTTGAAGACAAAAGAAGTTCCTGTTTGATTGTTCATCAATAAAAGACTTTGTTGTATTTAAGCTCAAGCCCTCTAAAGACTGTTTATGGAGGAAAATTCTCTAAGGGCTTCTCTTTGGGGGCCCTGGCTTCCCGTTGGGCTCAAGTTGCACATCCTGTTTTAAAAGCACTTTGTTTTAAGCCCAGCGGCGACAGAACACAATGTTGATGCTAATGTTGTTGGGCCAAGTTTGGATAGTGAGGCTGAAGTGATCAATGAGGACGAGGCTCAAGATGGGACACTTTGGGCAGTAAAAATCCTACAGGCTTTGATTTAGAGCCTTCAAGGGAAAAGCCAAGTTCTCATGAGAAAGTTTCTGTCAGACTGAGATAAGAAAATTCACTCCTTTTTCCTCCTGGCCCGAGCTTTCAAAATAACTTGACACCTGGTCGGGTCAATGATAACAGCCGCAGCTTGGAGATAAGCCAGAACCGCGGGGAGGCTCAGTGTTTACATAGGTCCGAGAGAATCCAACAACTGAAACCAAAGGTTAGAGTTAGCCGGAATCAGTTTTGGGGATTTAAGAGTGCCCGTGAGGGGGATTTCCTCAGACCAAGCATCATTTAGTATCAAGTACAAACCTCCTGGGTTTTCCAGTTTCCAGTGGTCTGGTCACTAAGGGAATTTCTGGCTTCAAGTGAGAATTAGCTGGGGCTAATCTGTTCATTTAGTTGGAGGGAAGGATACTAGAGACAAAGTTGAAGTACTTTGGCCACATCATGAGGAGACAGCAAAGCCTAGAGAAGACAATTATGCTGGGGAAAGTGGAAGGCAAAAGGAAGAGGGGCCGACCAAGGGCAAGATGGATGGATGGCATCCTTGAAGTGACTGGACTGACCTTGAAGGAGCTGGGGGTGGTGATGGCCAACAGGGAGCTCTGGCGTGGACTGCTCCATGAGGTCACAAAGAGTCGGAGACGACTGAACGAATGAACAACAACAATCTGTTCATGGATTTCTATTGAGAGTTGTTTGGACATTACTGCTTTGGATTTTCTGCAAGCTTTCTGGACACTGCTCTTTGCTGTTTCATTTTGGCTTTTTTACCTTTGGACTTCAATCTATTTTATATTCATCATTCAATAAAAAGGATTGTATTTTTCCTAAATCAAGGTGTGGTGTATCAATGACAAGAGGGTCCTGTTTCCAGCTCTGGCGTGCAACACTCTATTGTAGAGATAGGATGGGATGGGAACAAACAACAACAGAAAACTGGGGGGAAAACTGTTTTTCCCCCAAAACTATTTTTTTCCTGAAAAAAATGGAAAAAAGTATGTAGAAACAAAAAGTCTCAAAAAAACTTCCATTAAGATCTTCCTGCTATATAGTTTGAATACCATGTCATAGATATAGTACTTGTCACTGGAAAAGAACATATTCTACACACTTTTCAATTTTTCTGGAAAAAAATTACTTTGGAAACAATGGGGGGGGGGGGGAATATTTTTCTCCCAATTTTCCCAGGTGTTTTCCAATTCTTCCCATCTCTACTCTACTGTCAGCTTCCAGACATTGACAATAAAATCACACCAGAGTATGCTGAGATTTTTAGAGAGAACATATTAATCACATTTGTTAATAATCAAATTCTTAAAAGCTAAACCTGAACATTGAGTCCTTTCAAAGCAGCATTTTTAATTGATTTTACTTGATCTGGCCACCAGTGGCATTGCAGGCTAGTCAAAATATGTAGCATTTGAGAAAGGGGTGGCACGCATACGTATGGTATGAAAAAATTGTCAGATTGCATATGACACCACAAAAATTAGGCAAATGTTATAAAAATATAAATTCAAATTGAAAAATGTGGAGAGGTAGAAGGAACCTTCTACCACATGTGGTGGTCATGCAAAAAGGCAAAAAGTTTTTGGAAGGAAATACAGGAAAATTTCAAAAGATACTAAAAGTTAATATACCACTCAAACAAGAAATATTTTTATTGGGAATAATTGAACAAAAATGGATAACAACATAGATAAACTCTTTTTATCAACAACCACTGCTAGATTATGTTATGCAAGAACATGGAAAAAAAGAGAACCAACTAAAATTGATGACTGGAATAAAAAGATTATGGAGATTAAAAAAATGGCTAGATTAACCTATTTATTACAAAAAATATAAAGGGAAAATAGAGAGACAATGTATTGTCGAAGGCTTTCATGGCTGGAATCACTAGGTTCTTGTGGGTTTTTTCGGGCTATAGAGCCATGTTCTAGAGGCATTTCTCCTGACGTTTCGCCTGCATCTATGGCAAGCATCCTCAGAGGTTGAGAAGGTCTGTTGGAAGTAGGAAAAATGGGCTTATATATCTGTGGAATGGCTGGGGTGGGGCAAGGAGCTCTTCCCTGCTGCAGTTAGGTGTGAATGTTTAGCTGATCACCTTCATTAGCATTTGAAGGCCTGCCTGAGTCTGGGAAAATCTGTTGCTGGGAGGTGTTAATCTGTGCCTGGTTTTTTCCTCTCTGTTGTTTAGCTGTTATAATTTTAGAGTTTTTTAATACTGGTAGCCAGATTTTGTTCATTTTCATGGTCTCTTCCTTTCTGTTGAAATTGTCCACATGCTTGGGGATTTCAATGGCTTCTCTGTGTAGTCTGACATGGTGGTTGTTGGTGTGGTCCAGCATTTCTGTGTTCTCAAATAATATGCTGTGTCCAGGCTGGTTCATCAGGTGCTCTGCTATGGCTGACTTCTCTGGTTGATGTAGTCTGCAGTGCCTTTCATGTTCCTTGATGCGTGTCTGGGCGCTGCGTTTGGTGGTCCCTATGTAGACTTGTCCACAGCTGCATGGTATATGGTAGACTCCTGCAGAGGTGAGAGGATCCCTCTTGTCCTTTGCTGAACATAGCATTTGTTGGATTTTCTTGGTGGGTCTGTAGATTGTTTGTATGTTGTGTTTCCTCATCAGCTTCCCTATGTCAGTGGTTCCCTTGATGTATGGCAAGAACACTTTTCCTCTGGGTGGATCTTCATCTTTACTCTCGTGGCTTGTTCTGGTCTTGCAGCTCTTCTGATGTCTGAGGTCGAGTATCCATTGGCCTGTAGAGCCCAGTTGAGGTGGTTCAGTTCATCTTGGAGGAGGTGGGGTTTGCAGATTCTTTTTGCATGGTCTGCCAAGGCTTTAATGGTACTTCTTTTTTGACTTGGGTGATGGTTGGAGTTTTTATGTAGATATCTATCTGTGTGTGGGTTTTCTGTAAACAGTGTGACCCAATTGTTGATCTGGTTTTGTGGATGACTAGGACATCTAGAAATGGGAACTTTCCTTCATTTTCTTTTTCTATGGTGAATTGGATGTTTGGGTGGATGCTGTTAAGGTGGTCCAGGAACCTGTTGAGTTCTTCTTCTCCATGGCTCCAAATGGTGACACTGATCGCATAGGGAAGCTGATCGCATAGGAAATTATAATCCGGCCCTCTAGCAGTTTGAGGGACTGTGACCCTCTGTTTAAAAAGTTTGAAGACCCTTGTTTTAACTATATGTACTATGAAAATACCTAATAAAGATTGTATTTTAAAAAATATGTAGCACACAAAGAAGCTTCAATTTGGGTTGCTGTGAGTTTTCTGGGCTGTATGGCCACGTTCCTGAAGCACTCTTCTGGAACGTGGCCATACAGCCTGGAAAAGTCACAGAAACCCAGTGATTCTGGCCGTGAAAGCCTTCGACAAACTTCAATTTCTTTCTTATTTTTTAGCCATTTATACGCATGTAAGGGAAAATATAAACCTCCCTCCAGCTTTCCTTCCATCGTGATGGTTGTGAAACGGTTTCTAAATTCATAGAATATAAATTATGTAAATAAGTAAATGGCTCCAAAACATTCTGCTCTTGAAGAAAACGGTTGTCTGTCTCCAGTCAACCCAAGGTAATCCTGCTGTTGAATTTCCCAGAACTCAGGAAATGCATTGAGGTGGGGAGGACAGGATGGGAGAACACAACAGATGTGAAAGAGAGCAAGAAAACAAAACAAGCCCGGAGCAGTAGAACATAGCTGTAGTTTCTGGTCAGATTGTCAAGGTGAAATTCAGGCTCTCTCTTTAGCATTTGTAAATTGTACACGTGTTATGCAGTGTTTTATGTTTCTGTTCTCTTTTGTATCTAATTTGCAAATGGAATTAATGAAGGCCAGTGACCTTACCATCGTTCTTTCCATGAACTGCTCTGTATCTAAGAAAACAAGTCAAACTTGTAGATTTCTGGTGGCTTCAACCACCTTAAATACTTTCAACCTCCTTTCAGATTGTTTATGCAAGAGGTGCAGTTCAATGACTCATGTGATGCAGTTCCATAATTTTTTTCAGAGCTTTCCATTTTATTACATACACAGCCATGACTAAGAGTGCAGTTTGAAGAATAAGACTGAGAGGGGTTTGTTCTGTCGCACGCTGGGCCTGTAAAGAATTTCCTTTAGAACAGGATGTGCAACCTTTGCCCAGCGGGAAGCCAGGGGGCCCAAAGAGAAGTTCTCAGAGGTTTTCCACCACAAATAGTCTTTAGATGGCTTGTGAAGTATAACAAAGTCTTTTATTAATGAACAATCAAACAGAAACTTCTCTTGTCTTCAGTAAAGATAAACAAATGATTCCAGGCTTTTATGCAACTGGTAGCTTCAAACTTGCCCATGAAGGACAGGCAACTGTCTTCAATAACTTCGTCTTTACTTTAAAGGAAAGTCCAATTTTTAACTTCTCCCAGGCTGTATGTAATCTAACCCTTACTGATGTGGGCTCCGCTACCGGGTTGAACTGCTTCTCGAACGCCGAGTGGACCTACCAGTAAAAGCTTAGATGTTCTCCAGCTGGAGTTCTTTGGTCTTTAGGGCTGTTTCTCTGGAAATCTTTGGAGACTCTTAAGACTGTTCTCTCCCGGAAGGTCTTGGATGCTCTTAAGACTGTTTCCCCCCGGAAAGTCTTAAGGGTTGAAGCTTTGCACACGTCCTGTACATTAGCTTTCCTTGCTGAGACTAACTAAAAATGGCTCCCTTCCCTTCCCAATTGCCCTGAGCAAGGGGTGGAACCAAAACTTAATGATGATGGACAGGTGACTTGCCCTATGACTGCAACCAAAGGAAGCCACCCTTCTGCAGAATCCAAGGAACCTTGGACTGCAAGCAAACATTTAATACAAAGCAAATAAATTTGGAGCTCCTGGTATGGCCATACCAGCACAGGGTTCCTTAACTCCTTTCTTTTGTAACCTTTCTCACCCCAAACTACTTTCAATCCACCTAGGGAAAAAGGTAGCACTGATCTCTCAGGTCCCTTCTACACAGCCATATAACCCAGATTGTCAAATCTGGATTATCTGCTTTGGAACTGAGTCTCAACTGCTATATAATCTAGTTCGGTGCTTCGCAAGCTTCCTGATGCCACGAACCCTTAACACAGTTCCTCATGTTGTGGTGACCGCCAACCATAACATTATTTTTTTTGGCTACTTCAAAACTGTAATTTTGCTACTGTTATAAATCTTCATGTAAATATCTGATATGCAGGATGTATTTTCATTCACTGGGCCATATTTGGCACAAATACCCAATATGCCCAAATTTGAAGACTGTTGGGGTTGTGGAGGGACTGATGTTGTCATTTGGGAGTTGTAGTTAGTGGGATTTATAGTTCACCTACAATCAACGAGCATTCTGAACTCCAACAATGATGGAATTGAACCAAACTTGGCACACAGAACTCCCACGACAAACAGAAAATATTGGAAGAGTTTGGTGGACATTGGCCTTGAGATTTGGAGTTGTAGTTCACCTACATCCAGAGAGCACTGTGGACTGAAAAAAATGATAGATCTGGACCCAACTTGGCATAAATACTCAATATGCCCAAATGTGCACACTGGTGGAGTTTGGGAAAATAGACCTTGGCTTTTGGGAGTTGTAGTTGCTAGGATTTATAGTTCACCTACAATCAAAGAGCATTTTGAACCCCACCAATAGAATTGGGGCAAACTTCCCACACAGAATCCCCATGACCAGCAGAAAATGAATATTGTGTTTCCTGATGGTCTTTGGTGACCATCAACCCCAAGGTTGAGAAACTGATCTAGTTCAAAGCAGATGATCTTGATTTTATATGACAGTGTAGATGTGCCCTTAGACTGTGGCTTTTCCCAGGTCTGTTACCCAAGATATTTTATAATGAAGGGCAGATGCTGTCTTAATAGGAGGAGATACGATTTGGTTCACCTATCTCATTGTCTATCCTGACTGGCATCAAGTCTCCAGGCAAGGAATTGTAGCATTTACTAGTATATTATCACTTTTTAACTGGCGATGCCAGAACTGAGCCTGTTTCTCTATACAAAGGAGATGCCCCTTTCATGGACTCTCTTTAGAAACAATAGTACAAATCTTTTAGTTTCTCCTGACTCTCATTAATTTCGTGGACTCTCCTAAAAAACAACAGTACAGATATGCACCCCATATACTCTAGATATCTCAGTCAATAAGTCAACCAAAAAACATAGGTTGATTTATCTATGGCCCCTTGTACACCAGCCATATAAAATCCAGATTACCCGCTTTGAACTGGATTATCTTGTAGTGTAGACTCAAAAGTCCAGTTCAAAGTAGATAATGTGTATTATCTGATTTGATAATCTAGATGATATGGCAGTGACGCAGTGGGTTAAAGCACCAAGCTGCTGAGCTTGTTGACCGAAAGGTCACAGGTTCGAATCCGGGGAGCGGTGTGAGCTTCCGCTGTCAGCCCCAGCTTCTGCCAACCTAGCAGTTCGAAAACATGCAAATGTGATTAGATCCGGCGGGAAGGTTAACGGCGCTCCATGCAGTCATGCCGGCCTCATGACCTTGAAGGTGTCTGTGGGCAACGCCGGCTCTTCGACTTAGAAATGGAGATGAGCACCACACTCGAGTCGGACACGACTGGACTTAATGTCAGGGGAAAGCCTTTACCTTTACCTTTATGGCAGTGTAGAAGGGGCCTAAGAGTCAATGTGAGTATATACCTTAGCAAAAGCTTAGCCCATCCTGTGAGAACCTGAAAGAACCACCTCAACTCTTTCCACTATGGCACTGCTTCTGGCTTTTTGAATGCCTGGACGAGGATGTGGCAGTGAGGCCAGCCTCTCTGTGGAATGACTCTCGACTTATCCACAGGTTGTATCAAAATCCAAACCTGACCTTGTGTTATAGATGCAGTCTACTTCCATATGAACATATATGGTAATTTTCCATTGAGCACACACTCTAAAGTCTTTCATCACCTAGTTCCATATTAAACATCTCACACAGGGGACTACTTGAGAACAGCATGGTCGTAAGTGAATGAAGGATGAGAGTTGCCCCTCCAAATGATTGCCCACTGACTTACAAGTTTCCAACCAATTGGGATCTTCTTTTTCCGGTTTATGAACTGACTCTTCTTGTGCTCCAGTCTCATTCATGGTTGTCTTCATTAGCTTTTCTTTGCTCTGTCATAAACATACAAAGTGAGACCTCTCATTTAGGATACCAGCTAGTATTCTACATTATAACCATCCAGGCTTGGAGTTAACAGGCAGTTTTACCATATTTTCCTATAAATGATACAAATCTTTAGACAGGAGAAGACTATTGATAGTTTTTTTTTATGTCAGGAGCAACTTGAGAAACTGCAAGTGTGAAGAGAATTGGCTGTCTGTAAGCACATTGCCCAGGGGACGTCCGGATGTTTGATGTTTTACCATCCTTGTGAGAGGTTTCTCTCATTTCCCTACATGGGAAGCTGGAGCTGACAGAGGGAGCTCAACCCACCCTCCCCATATTCAAACAGCTGACCTGTCAATCAGCAGTTTTCTTACCTGTGAATTGCCAAACTTCCTTGAATGCCTGACAGAGTCTGCCAACATGTCCTCTATGCCTCTTGGTTTATTTGCAGAAGACTAAAATCCAACCAAAAGAAATATGAGATTAGGAGTTTTGCATACCTACGTTCCAAAGATAGGTAGACTAGAGTGCACTTATATTCACAGCCAGGATTAAGGATCTCAAAAAATCATTGTGTATATAGTGGAGAAAAACAACAATGCAAAAAAAAAAAGCTGTCAAGAAGGATTCTGACATCTTATACTATTGATTTTCACTAGGGAGGAATGAAGGGATGAAAGGAAGGAAGAAAGGGCCAGCTTTATGCAACCAATGTATATACAGCAGGTGTTCAATTATTTCTCTGTCAGTTGTGAAAATGCAACTATCATTTTATGCATACACATATTCCTTGTTGCTGCAAATATTAGCAACACTTTCCAGTATTTTCTACTTAAAGGTAAAGGTAAAGGTAGTCCCCTGACATTAAGTCCAGTCATGTCTGACTCTGGGGTGTGGTGCTCATCTCTATTTCTAAGCCGAAGAGCCAGCGTTGTCCGTAGACACCTCCAAGGTCATGTGGCCGGCATGACTGCATGGAGCGCCGTTACCTTCCTGCTGGAGCAGTACCTATTGATCTACTCACATTTGCATGTTTTCGAACTGCTAGGTTGGCAGAAGCTAGGGCTGACAGCGGAAGCTCACGCCGCTCCCCGGAATCGAACCTGCGACCTTTCGATCAACAAGCTCAGCAGCTCAGTGCTTTAACCCACTGCGCCATGCGGTGTCTAATTTTCTACTTAGACACCACATAAGAAGTAATCCTGTCACCTGAGCTCACCAAAGGAAAGATGGAATAGAAAAACTAATCATAACACTATGTAGAATGATTTTTCTTCCTGGGTTATAAATGTCATTTCTTAATTAGTTCCATCCTAAAAACATGGCAAATGTTTATTAAACTGCAAAAACTTTGTTTTTGCAAGACATCCTGCAGCACATTTTGTCGAGTTTTTCAACGAATATCTCATTGAGTCTCAACCAATTCCATATATTTTGTGGCAGCCACAAAAACAAAGTTTCTGGAGTATAACAACTACTTTCAAAGTAAGCATCGCACAATTAAACAGGAAATAATGCTTTCAAACTAGGAACGGAAAACATTTACTCAGTGCATTCGGGATGTCTATGCACAGCTGGACCTAGAGAGCATAGGTAGGTCTTCAGCCACAAGGTTTTTAGCTTCCCACAAAAGGAATATTCATTTAGAGCACTACCTAACTATTCCACTTCCTCTACCCTTAAGAAGAATATATACTAGGGCTAGGTTTGAACAACTCGGTACTATGGTGCAAACCGGGCGCTACTGTAACATCCCAAGAAGTGAGAGATTCTGCGTCTGGGGAGAACAAACAGTGGAAGACATTGAACATTTCTTAATTGACTGTCCAGCATATACTGAACTGCGAGACAGATATTTACATCCAATATTATCCAACTGCAGGTCCCCCAACAGAAATGATATTCTGACATCCCTCTTGCAAGGGCAGGAAAGATCCAGCATAATCAGAGTAAGCCTTTTTATTCTGAAAGCTATTAAGAAAAGAGCAGATTTCCTGAAAGAAGAACCAGGAAAATAAGATTCTGACTATAAATAGAAGGTCAGCTGCTGTCCTCACCTTTTTGCCTTGTTTTTTACTCATGTTCTATTTTGAAATGGTCATATGACTGATCTGTATATTTATTTATTTATTTGCTATACTTGTATACCGCCGTTTCTCAGCCTAGCCGGCGACTCAACGCAGTTTACAACAACTTATAACAAACAACAGTATACAGTTTAAAAACATAAAAACACAATCCACAATACATATATCAATAAACAATCCAATTCATCTCTTGACTAAAATCGCGATCCAGTTTCGTCGTCCAAATTGCCAGTCCTTCAATCATTACACTTATTGCACTGAGTTAACCGAACGCCTGCTCGAACATCCAGGTTTTTAGTCTTTTCCGGAATACCATCAATGAGGGGGCTGATCTTACCTCCATGGGGAGGGCGTTCCATAGCCGCGGGGCCACCACAGAAAAGGCCCTGTCTCTCGTCCCCGCCAGCCGCACCTGTGAAGCAGGCGGGATAGAGAGCAGGGCCCCCCAGAAGATCTTAGGGTCCTGGTGGGCTGATAGGCCGAGATATGACTGATCAAATAAATAAATATTATTATAAATCGATATAAATAATAACTATTGACATTAACCTTTCCATTTATTTATTTATTTATTTATTTATTTAGAGTTTTTATAACCTGGTCTTCTCGACCTCCGAGGAGGGACTCAGGCCGGCTAACAACATAAGATTCAATACAATGAGAAAAACATTATAAATCATCAATATAAAATACATTAAAATACAATTCATACAATTCATACAAGTTAAAGCAAAAATCAGTTCGTCAGAATGAATCACAAATTCATCGCCATCCGCCAGAAAGGTCAGCAGTTATTGACTCAGTCATCATTCTGCAAACACAGTATCCCAAAGCCATGTTTTTACCAGCTTTCTAAACGTCAGGAGGGAAGAGGCAGATCTAATCTCCATCGGGAGGGAGTTCCAAAGCCAAGGGGCCACCACCGAAAAGGCCCTGTCCCTCATCCCCACCAAACGGGATTGTGAAGGCGGTGGGACCGAGAGCAGGGCCCCTCCAGAAGATCTTAACAACCTTGATGGTTCATAGGGGAGAATCCGTTCAGACAGGTAAATAAGACCAGAGCTGTTTAGGGATTTATAGGTCAACACCAGCACTTTGAATTATGCTCGGAAGCTGATTGGCAGCCAGTGGAACTGGCACAACAGAGGAGTAGTATGCTCCCTGTACCCCGCTCCTGTTAGTAAACTGGCTGCCGCTTGTTGTACTAGTCTTCAGAGGCAACTCCACGTAGAGAGCGTTGCAGTAGTCTATACGGGATGTAACCAGAGCATGTACCACCGTGGCCAAGTCAGACTTCCCAAGGTATGGGCGCAGCTGGCGCACAAGTTTTAATTGTGCAAAAGCTCCCCTAACCACCGCCGAGACCTGAGGTTCCAGGCTCAGCGATGAGTCCCATCATTTCTTTAATGAGTTTCCATGACCTCCATACCACCACCACTTTATCCTCACAATAACCCCGTGAGATAGATTAGGCTAAGAAAGAGCGACTAACTGGCTTGAAGCTACTCTGCAAATGGCATGGCTTACTAGGACTAAAATGTTGACATCCCAAATCACCAGCAGCTTCTATACCAATGGGGCTCTTGCTCTTGGTCCTTATTCTAAAAGAGGTATCCAATGAACTGAACTGTGGAGATTGGTGAAAAGGCACCATGACATCATGGGTTTACCATGATGTAAATGGGTTCAGTTCATTGGATACCTCCTTTAGAATAAGGACCAAGAGCAAGAGCCCCATTGGCATAGAAGCTGGAAAGACATTTATCGGCAGCTGACTGGCTGAGCATGCCAGGAGCCAAAATTCTGGTTGGCTACTGTCTCTGGCTTGTTGCGGAGACAAACAGTTTAAACTGCCAATTTGACCTCAGAGAGTGAAGAGAGCACTGACTGGAAACAGCCAGAAAGTAAGTGACTGCCAACTCTCTGATCATTTCTAAGGCATGAAGCATATTTTAAAGACTGTTTAAAAGAATTGTTTATTCCCTCTGTTCTCTGTGTGAATTCAGAGAGACTGTTACATATATATTGTTGCCCTGTTTGATCTTTTGAACGGAAGTAATGATACTGTTACTTGTTACACAAGCCCGAGTGACAGTTTATTATACTGCAGAGTATATTTTGCTTCAGAAACAGTGGTAAAGCTTCTACAAGCTCCCACAAATATTCTATACAAATGGGCCAGTGAAACTGCTCTTGGTCCTTATTCTAAAGGTGATATCTAATGAATTTAATTGTATCCCCTAAACAGAGGCGGTAATTTTCAACGGTAAGCAAACAGTATTTTGGCGCCCCCCCCCCCCAGTGATTAACCATCAGTGATTGGTTAATCACTGACATATATTTTCTGTTCGTCGTGGGAGTTCTGTGTGCCATATTTGGTTCAATTCCATCATCGGTGGAGTTCAGAATGCGCTTTGATTGTAGGTGAACTATACATCCCAGTAACTACAACTCGCATATGTCAATGTCTATTTTCCCCCAAGAGCGCCTCAAGAGCCCCCTGTGCAAAAGCAACTATACTGCAAATGCTTACTTTGCGTAATGGGTTGAGCCAGCTCTGCCCCTAAATTCCTTGAGAGTTTGCATTTAAAGTCCACAGTAACTTCATTGCCTAAATAACAACTGCCATTGTCCAAGATCTAGTCTAGCATTCTACCTCCCATAATAGTCTAGCGCTACTAGACCTTTGATTTATAAAGGGACATTATTATTTTCTTTTATTCCTGCTATGCTGTCAGAAGCAATACTGCACAGACTGTCAGCATTACTGCTGGTAAAATTAAAAGTATGAGAAGGACGGATAAACACCTAGGCTCTTTTTGGATTAACACGTTATCACCATCTCGAGGTCTCCGAATCCTCCCACTTATGCAAAATTCTAATCAGAAACATATTTGGGTAGAGTGATTCTCTTTCTATCAGTATACAACACAATGGTCTAAAGAAAGAAACATTTGGGGTGATGTAATATTGGAGGGTTGTATACCCTCACCCAACCTATTCAACTTGTGTGCAGAACACATCATGCGATGTGCGGGGCTTGATGAATGCAAGGCTGGGGCAAAAATTGCTGGAAGAAACATTAACAACCTTAGATATGCCGATGATACCACTTTGACGGCTGAAAGCGAGGAGGAGCTGAGGAGCCTTCTAACCAAGGTGAAAGAAGAAAGCACAAAAGCTGGGTTGCAGCTAAACATAAAAAAACCAAGATTATGGCAACAACAATGATTGACAACTGGGAAATAGAGGGAGAAATCATGGAGGCAGTGACAGACTTTGTATTTCTAGCTGCAAAGATTACTGCAGACGCAGACTGCGGCCAGGAAATCAGGAGACGCTTACTTCTTGGGAGGAGAGCAATGTCCAATCTCAATAAGATAGTGAAGAGTAGAGACATCACACTGGCAACAAAGAACCACATAGTAAAAGCAATGGTATTACCAGGTGAGCACTGGCTTATTCTTTACTATTAGAAGCATATAAAGTAAACATACATGATGAAAATGTTCCTGTTTTACAAACGACTCATAGTTAAGAACAGGGGTGAGACAACAGGAAGTGTGAAATCTACCTCTTGGGAAGGAAATTAACTCCTGAAAGAGTCATCATGGGAAAAGGTATCACAACTGAAATTTATCATCAATTCTTGTTTCTCCAAAAAGTCAAATTTTTCAAAATCCAATTGTCACAGGTATAGAAAGTGAGGGGAAATCTTCTGAACAGGGGCACAAGCAGCAAAACAAACACCACAGGGCTGATAATAATAATAATAATAATAATAATAATAATAATAATAATAATATATTTATATTCCGCTTTTCTCCCCAAAGGGACTCAGGGTGGATTCCAAACATAAAAGGCAAACATTCAATGCCTGAATACAACAACAATACATCCATAATAACAAAATTTAAACGTTCAGTCATTCACTCTTCGTGACCTCATGGACCAGCCCACGCCAGAGCTCCCTGTTGGCCGTCACCACTCCCAGCTCCTTCAAGGTCAATCCAGTCACGTCAAGGATGCCACCCACCCACCTTGTCCTTGGTCGGCCCCTCTTCCTTTTTCGTTCCATTTTCCCCAGCATCATTGTCTTCTCTAGGCTTTCCTTTCTTCTCATGATGTGGCCAAAGGACTTCATCTTGGCCTCTACTATCCTTCCCTCGAATGAGCAGTCGGGCTTTATTTCCTGGAGGATGGACTGGTTGGATCTTCTCGCAGTCCAAGGCACTCTCAGCACTTTCCTCCAACACAGCTCAAAAGCATCGATCTTCCTTCGCTCAGCCTTCCCTAAGGTCCAGCTCTCACATCCGTAGGTTACTACAGGGAATACCATGGCTTTGACTAGGCAGATCTTTGTTGCCAGTCAGATGTCTCTACTCTTTACTGTTTTATCGAGATTGGACATTGCTCTCCTCCCAAGAAGTAAGTGTCTTCTGATTTCCTGGCTACAGTCTGCATCTGCAGTAATCTTTGCACTTAGAAATACAAAGTCTGTCACGGCCTCCACATTTTCTCCCTCTATTTTCCAGTTGTCAATCATTCTTGTTGCCATAATCTTGGTTTTTTTGACGTTTAGCTGCAACCCGGCTTTTGCGCTTTCTTCTTTCACCTTGATTAGAAGGCTCCTCAGCTCCTCCTCGCTTTCAGCCATCAGAGTGGTGTCATCTGCTTATTGATTTCTTCCATCTCCTCCTCTCCTTCCCCTTCCCTTTCCTTTTCTCCTTCCTTCCCCCTCCCCTTTTTCTCTCTTCTTTCCCTTTTCCTTTTCTCCCTTCTTCCCTTTTTTCCTCCTTCTTCCTTCCCTTCTTTCCCTCTTTCCTTCTCTTCCCCTTTTCTTTCCCTTCCCTCTCCCCCTCCTCCCTCTTTCTCCCTTCTCCTCCTCCTTCTCTTCTCCCCCTTCTTTCCCCTTCT